CCTCCTACAGATCCACAGGCACCTACGTCGATGAGGTTCCCCCTCCGGGGGCGAACGTAGTCGACGGCATGTGGATCTACAGGGTGAAGCGGCCACCGGGATCTCCTCCGGTCTTCAAGGCACGCTACGTGGCTAGAGGTTTCAGTCAGCGCGAGGGAGTTGACTTCTTTCAGACCTTCGCGCCCACCCCGAAGATGACCACTCTTCGGGTGTTACTACACGTAGCAGCACAGAGAGACTACGAGTTACACTCTCTCGACTTCTCTACTGCTTTCCTTCAGGGCAGTCTTCACGAGGAGGTCTGGTTGCGTCGTCCCTCTGCCTTCACTGGCTCTTTCCCTCCTGGGACCCAGTGGAGGCTGAGGCGACCGGTTTACGGTCTTCGTCAGGCTCCTCGTGAGTGGCACGACACCCTGCGTTCTACCCTGTCTGACCTTGGGTTCCAGCCGTCTTCTGCTGACCCGTCGCTGTTCGTTCGTCGTGGCCCCACACCTTTCTTTGTTCTGGTCTACGTTGACGACCTTGTTTTCGCCACCCCTGACAGGGTTGCTTTGGCACACGTGAAGTCCGAACTGCAGAAGAGACACACCTGCACTGATCTTGGTGAGCTGCGCCACTACCTTGGCCTGCAGATCACCAGGGACAGAGCTGCTCGCACCATTACACTTTCACAGTCGCACATGGTGCAGCAGGTCCTTCAGCGGTTCGGGCTTCAGCACTCCACAGTACAGCGCACACCTCTTGCTGTTGACCACAGACTCACTGGACCCTTTCCTGACGAGCCGTTCGAGCCTAGTGGTCCCTACGCTGAGCTTGTGGGTTGCCTCATGTACCTGATGACTTGTACTCGCCCGGACCTCGCCTTCCCTCTCAGCGTTCTTGCGCGCTTTGTTGCGCCAGGGAGACACCGTCCTGCTCACTGGACAGCAGCTGTGAGGGTGGCGAAGTACCTAGCGACGACGTCAGGCGTGGGGCTAGTTCTTGGAGGGCAGCAGTCTGTCGTACTTACTGGTCACTGTGACTCCTCTTACGCTGACGACGCTGAGACTCACAGGTCTACTCAGGGGTACTGTTTCAGCCTGGGTTCTGGAGCTGTTTCCTGGCGGTCCACGCGCTCCTCTTCGGTCTCGACCTCTACAGCTGAGGCTGAGATCTACGCTGGTGCCATGGCGGCACAGGAGCTGCGTTGGTTGACCTTCTTGCTCACCGACCTTGGTGAGCGGCCGAGCTCTGCACCGACCTTGTTCACTGACAACAAGGCGTCTATTCTCCTTTGTCGAGAGCCACGACTGGAGAGCAGAGTGAAGCACATTCACGTCAGGTACTTTCTTCTGCGAGAGTTGCAGAGGCGTGGACAGGCTCGCTTTGAGTTTGTGGAGTCCGAGGCCAACACTGCAGACATCTTCACCAAGGCGCTTCCGCCTTGTGACCACCAGAGGTGCTGTGTGCAGTTAGGCCTTGTTGACACTGGTTCTCGTGTTGCTTAGACTTGAGTGTACTGTTTACTTTGCTTTCTATATACCTCTGTTACTTCTTGGACTGGCCTTGTGGCCACTGTTGTTTGTGCTCAGACTGTGTGGTGACGTTGTGATCCACCCTGAGCTTCGTTTCTTGGACTGGTCTTGTGACCGTACTCGTGTGGTTCTGCTAGACACCCCTCACTTAGGCTATGGGGGTGTGTCAAATGTTGTAGCCTATAGTGAGGTTTGTCTTAGGGGGTACAAAACTTAGGGTTAGCTATATGTACCCCAACCAACATCAATGCATCATCCATTCTTCATTTTGACAGGGGTGGTGTAAGGAATTTTCTCGAATTCCTTATCGGGGTTGACTACTGCGCGTACAACCCGATTTTCGGAGTTCGCACGTTCGGGCGATTTCCACGCTGCCGAAGCTCCTCACGTCGCCTTCGGCATTTCCATCGCCAAACCTGCACCCAACCTCGCTCGTCCGAGGTTTCCTCCTAGCTAGGCTAGCCTACATTAGTTCTCGCATTCATTGTATTCTCAGATTCATTCAGTCACAGTCTCGTTATTCGTTTACCTGCGCACTCTCTTTTACAACTCATAATAGTGTTCCTCATACGGTTACTGGGAAGCAGCAATGAGTGGACCCGGAAAAGTTGCCAGATCCCTTACGTGGATTCTCCCGAGGTGTCAGGTTTGGAATTCGGAGGTCCGCATCCGTAGTTTACAATCTGGTTGTTCATTCGTAGTTCTTAGCCAAATCACCGAGCGATCGTTAGAATGCATATCGTTAGCGATACTACAGATTTTACTTTCGCCGTTCGTATTTGAAGCTTCCGTTTTCTATCAACCGCATGGCTGCGTCAAGTAACCTCGAGGGCGATCCGGGCGGAAGCTTAGGCGGAACGATTGTTCGCGATTATGACGAGCATATTCCGGATTCGACAGAGCCGGAAGGAAGGGATGCCGACGGCCTGGAATTTCAGAGGAATGGTCGAATCGAAGGCGCATCTGGGATGGATTCACAGCCGAACGGCGAGCAAGGAGAGAATCCCCGCCAGGATGATTCAAGCGAAGAGGTTGAGATGCAAGTCGATCAGGTCTGTTGCGTTGTTTGAGACCGCTTCTTCGAATCGCAACGTTATCTTCCCTGTTCCGTCCCACGCGACAATGATGCTCTGTATACGTCCATCGTCTGTTCTTGTTTTTCACTCCCTGTTTCCTATTTGTTTGTTTCTTTGATTTCTCTTGGATTTGCATTTGCGTTTCCCGTTTTTCGTCCCGGTCTTCCTGTTTCCTTCACGTCTTGTGTCAGGTGTTGGAGGACGCGTTTGTGAGCACGTCGCAGGAGGAGGCACTGCATTTACAAGAAGGCAAGCACATGAATGACCCCTTAACCGCGCCTTAGCTACGCCTGTTCGTAAAATCCCCGTCATGGATCCGCCGTGACTTGTTAATCACGCCAGCAGTCAGCTTACAACCGGTGCTTCCAAGACAAACATCCTATTTTTTCTGTTTCCAGGCCTCCTTTCGCGCTTTATGACCCTGCCGTTTCGTTCTTCAGTGCACCACCCCCTCCCTTCCCCTCCCCCCGCCCCCTTCCTGGCGTATCCCCTCCCCCCCACCCCCACACTCCCACACGCGCTGTCCCCGCTCCCTTCCCTAACCTCCTCCTTTCTCGCTAGCAGGTTGGGAGGGCGTGACGGTGGAGGTCCCTTCTGATGACGTAGCTATGCCAGACTGGCACGACGATGCCATAGATCTGACGTGGCAGAACAGCCAGCCAGTCTCACCGCAAGAAGGTCTATCCCAGGACTTCTCACAGCTAGTCTCCCAAGACATTAAGCCGGATATCCAGCCATTCGCCGCTTACCCACCTGCGGGGCCTCCTCCCGTGCCTGTACCCGAGCCTGCTGCCGAACCTGGAGCTGGTGGAGGACAGGAGACGAGGAGGCCCGGTGCAGCAGCGGCAGGTGGTGAGGAGGAAGTGAGTGGTCCGGGAGGGGCGGAAGAAGGAATTGAGCGGGATGGAGGGGCAGCAGCAGGCGGAGGAGCAAGGGAAGCATGCACTGTTCGCACAGATGCTGCTAACACTAACACTTGCACACACGCTCACGTTTCAGCTCATGCTAATTCTGACACTGACGGTAACACACACGTTCACTCGGCAGCGCACGTTGACTCTGGCATCGGGTTTGGAGGTGTGGGGGGTGAGAGTGCGTGTGGGATGCACACACAGCCATTCTCCACGGACGCGGACATGCACGCACATACTGCAGCCCACACTGACTCTGACATTGGGTTTGGAGGTGTGGGGGGTGCCAGTGCGTGTGGGATGCACACACAGCCGTTCTCCACGGACGCAGACATGCACGGCCACCTGTCGCCAGACGTGCGTCTGCTCAGCCTGCAGCAGCATGATGAGGACGAGCACGCTGGCTCCGATGCCCATGCCCACGCCAACCTTTATGACGACACCAATGCCCATGCCAATGCTGATGCTGAAGCTAACGCTCATGGTGATGCGGAGGGTGGGCTGCACGGGCGTGCTCGGGGACCAGAAGGCATGGATGTGCAGCAGCAGGTGTGTGGGACATGCAGCGTGCCCTTTGCTGGGAGCTGTGCGGAGGATTTGTGGTGAAAATTGATATTATCTGGAAACCAAATTTTGTTTTCCTCCTTCTGGGTCTGTGCAGGTATCAGAGGAAACTGTTGAGAGAGATTCAGTGATTCCAGCTGCCGTTCCTGCTGCAGCTACAACAGCCACCTGTGCTACACCTGCTGCCACACCTGATGCTTCAGCTGCTGCCACACCTGTGGATATTCCTGATGCTAGACCTGCTGCTGCAGCTGCTGCTACTGCTGCTGCTTCAGCCGCTCCCCCTGAGCCTGCCACTGACACTTTTTGCCTTTCTGCTGATGGTGCGGCTCAAGGGCCTGGTGCTGACGTGGCTGGAGTGCCCGTTGCTGACGTGGCCGGTGAGCCTGCTGCTGACGAGGCGCAAGTGGATGAGGGTCCTGCAGAGGAGGCTCGCTGGCTGTCCAGGGATAGCAATGGATCATTTGGGTGAGTTCGGAACCCACATGACATGATCCGTGCATGCAATGCTCACATCCCATGTTGCACTCACTCTCACATGTTGCACGCATTCACTCATGTCTTGCATGCACTGCTGCGCATTCCATATTCTTCCTCAAACCATCTCTTCTCCAACCCAAACGCGCCAGTGCAGGTGGCAGCGACAACACTCCTGCCACCTTTCCTTGCTCTGCATGGGCTGCATGGCTCATCTGATCATGCACGAACTTAATCTCTTAAGACTTGCGGCCCATGCGGCCTTCCCCCCTTGCACTTGCGCCCTTGTGTCCTGCCTCTGACTGGCATGCGTGCAGGTGCAGCAGCGTTCAGCCCGTGGTTCAAGGGTTCAGAGACTCAGCTGACCTCATCCCCTCCTTAACTGATCATGCCACAACTTGCGCTCAACCCATGCGGTTTTTCCCTCCCATGCACTTTCCTGTCCTCCCCCGACTGGCATGTGTGCGTGCAGGTGCAGCAGCGTCCAGCCCGTGACTCGGGACTTTCCAGACTCTGCCGACCTCTTCCCCCTGCCTGCTGAGCACGCTCACAGGCTGGGCGATGGGGACAAGGATGATCATGCAGATGCTTCTATGGGGGACAAGGACAATAACGCAACTGCCTCTATTGGGAATGAAGAGGATAATGCTGCCGAGCTGGATGGGGCCGAGGAGGGGAAGGTGGTGAAGGACAGTGGTGGAGCAGATACTAACGGGAACGTGGCAGATGCAGAGATACATGGCAATACAGCAGCTGATAACGGGGATGAAGAGGGGACTAGAGAGGGGCACGTGGGGAGGGAAGGTGGGGAAGGGATGGGGGGAGCAAGAGATGGGGATAGAGAGGGCAGGCGGGAGGAAGAGGAGTTAAGTGGTGAATGCGGTGGAGTGACTGGGGGTGGGGAGGAAGTGGACGCACGGGAGGAAAGGGGTGGAGAGAAGGAAGGGGAGCGGGGCGATGGGGCAGCCGAGGTGCGGATTGGAGAGGCGGAGGCAACAAGCATGGAGTTGGGGAGAGGAGGTGAAGGGGGCAGTGGCCGACTGGTGGGACGCGAGGCAGAGAGGGGTGAGGCTGGAGGGGCAGGGGTTCGGGAGGGAGGGGAAGAAGAGGCGGATGGGGAGGAGGAGGATGGTCGGGGAGTGGAGGTGGATGAGAGAGTAAAGGAGGGGGAGGAGGGGGGAGAGGGGAAGGAGACGGAGGAGGGAGGGGAGGGGAACGTAGTGGAAGGGGCAGAAGGGGGTGAGGAGAGGAAGGAGGCGGAGGAGGTGAGGGACAGTGAAAGAGAAGACGAGCAGCAGGATGGAGACGCAGGGCGAGCTGAGTACGGGCTTCCTGGGTCGATGGCGATGCCTGTAACACGCCCTCATGAGGAAGGGGGCATTCCTGTGAGTCAGGCAATGGAGGAGAAGGAGCACGAGCCGTTGAGCAGGGATGCCGAGGGGAAGGGCAATGGGCAGGGGGGAGGGATTGATGTGCAGGATGGGCAGGGGGGAGGAAATGATGTGGAGGATGGGCAGGGGGGAGGGGATGATGTGGAGATGGCAGAAGCGGGTGTGAAGCCAACGTCTGAGGCGTGGCTGCCTGGAGATGGGGCGGAGGAGGGCTCATATGAGACGCAACAGAGAAAGGATGTGATGCATGTGGACGCGGATGCCTCTGCTACTGCCCTTGCGGCAGATGTGCCTGTAGCCCCCTCTGCTGATGATGTCCCCATGGCTGTGGATGGTGATACAGGTGAAGAAGGGCAGGAGGAGGGAGCGAAGGAGGCAGAGGGAGAGAAGGAGGTGCTGGGAGAAAAGGAGGTGGAGGGGGAAGAGGAGGTGAGGAGCGAGGAGGTGGGGAATGAGACAGCAAAAGAGCGTGGGCAGGAGGAGGTGGAGGAGAAGAGGAGGGTGGGGGGTATAAGTTCGGTCTACGGCTCTTTCACTCGCTTTGCCAAGAGCCTCTTCTCTGGTGGCTCCAGTGCCAACGCTGGGGGTGGCGTTGGCGGTGGCGAGGGCGAGAATGCTGGTGGTGCTGCTGCTGAAGCTGCTGCTGCTGCTGTTGTGTCCACAGGGGTTGATGCTGCTACTGCCACTGCTGCTACTGCTGCCACTGCTGCAACTGCTGCTACTGCTGCCACTACTACTGCTTCTACTACTGCTTCTGCTACTGCTGCTCCTACTGCTGCTACTGCTGCTGCTACTGCTACTGCTGCTACTGCTACTGCTGCTGCTACTGCTGCTGCTGCTACTGCTGCTGCTACTGCTGCTACTGCTGCTACTGCTGCTGCTGCTGCTACTGCTGCTGCTGAAGCTGTTGCTGCTGCTGACGAGGAGACGCAGGATGCGGAGGGGTTGGTGCCACTTCCAGAGGAGGCGGAACTGCAGAGGGCACAGGAGGAGGACGTGCAGTGGACAGAGACGTATGACACCCAGGAGACACGTGGAGGTGAAGGGCAGGAGATGTCGTCTGTTGAGAAGATGACTTCTGAGTTGACTCAAGAGGGGTTGGCGCTCGGGGAAGAGGAGGCGGAACTGCTGAGGACACAGGAGGAAAAGGACGTGCAGTGGACAGACGCGTATGACACCCAGGAAACGGCTGCAACGACAGAACTTTTCAAGGACACGCCTGCAACAACAGGGCGTCATGAAGAATCTCCTGCAGCAGCAGAGCATTCTCAAGAATCACCTGCAGCGACCCAGGAGGAGAGAGATGGAGTTGCAGCGCAGGAGATGGAGGAGGAGGAGGAAGCGCTTGAGGAGCATGCAGAGGAGGCGAATGAGGCGGACACAGAACAAGGGAATGAGGCGGGCTCAGAGGAAGCGCATGTGGTGGCTGGTGTGGGAGGGGTGAATGGGGCTGGAGGGATAGCTGAGGGGGAGCGGGAGAAGGAGAAGGAGAAGGAGAAGGAGGAGGGAGTTGAGGCGGATGAGGAAGGGGAGAGGTTGTTGGCGGGCCGTGAGCCTGGGGTGGATCTAGGAGAAGGAGGAGGAGGAGGAGGAGGAGGAGGAGGAGGAGGAGGAGGAGGAGGAGGAGGAGGAGGAGGAGGAGGGGAGAGAAGTGCAGGTGAGGAGGCGGACCTAGTGGTGGAAGTGGGGTGGACGGGAGGGCGAGTGAGAATGGATGTGGGGGGGACGGGAGGTGGGGCAACAGGGGTGATGGGTGGGGGGGAACAAGTGGGGGCTAGAGTAGCAGTTGAGGGGGTAAGGGTGAGAGAGCAGGTAGGAGTAATTGGGAAGAGTCGGAGCGAAGAGGAGGGCACAGGGGAGGACAGGCAGACAGCACAGACGGGCTTGGCTGCCCTCGGATTTGGCAGTGGCAGTGCAGGTGGTGGCAAGAGGAGTTCTTTTGAGATACGTGAGAAGCAGGGGGCTGGTGCTGACAATGCTGCCCGTGCCGGCCGTGCTTGGAGTGGGATGCAGGTCGAGGCGGTGGTTCCTGAAGAAGGGACGGAAGCAAGGGGAGGAGAGGGAGAGCAAGGAGTGCAAGAGTCTGTGCGCTGGGGGGCAAGGGGAGAGGAGAAGAAAGGAGCAGGAGAGGCAGGAGCGAGGGAGGCGGGAGAAAGAGCGTCAGCTGCGAAAGGTCCAGCCGCATTACTGCGCCGCGAGCAGATCTCAGAAATCGACATGTCAGCGAGAGTGGAGGTGAATGTGCCGGGAGTGACGGCTGCTGCTGCCGACACGATCGCCGAGACGCTAGCTTCCAAAATGGCTGCTGAGGTGGCAGCAGCCATTGCTGCTGGGCTTGATGGAGCCAAGAAAAGGCCAGGTTCTGCCGCCCAGGATCAGAGCAGCGAAAAGGAGAAGGATGGGAGACGCAGTGAGGCGGAGGGGGGAAAGGGTGCCGCCAAGGATGGAGATGTGCTTTTCAAGTCTACCCGATGCGCCGTGGTGGCGGGATTGGGTGAGGGCTCAGCAGCGGAAGAGCTGGAGTTTGAAGTGGTGGTGGTTGGGCGGAGGAGGAAGAGCACAGGGAGCCCTGCTGACACACCCACGACAACTCCAAGGGCAGGCAGGGGCCGTGCTGGGAATGATGCTGACGAGGGTGGTTTGGAAGGAAGGCCGCAGGTTGCAAGCGAGGGAAGAAAACGAGCCCGTGGGTTGAAGCATGGGAGGAGTAGGCACGAGAAAGAAAGAATTGAGAAACCTCTGTTAGGTGAACCAGTGTCAGGAGGTGGCGCCATGGATCCGACTAGAGCCTCTACTGGTGGAACGCCAGCCAGAGTCTCCGCGTTCGCTGGTGGTGAGGGTGCGGGTGGTTCCAGGGAAGGAGTTTTGCCAGTCACTCCAAATGCTCCAATTGTAAGTTCCGGTCCTGCGTCTGCGCCGCCTACGATCAGGAAGAAGTGGTGGCAGCACTTGTACGATACGCCCGACGGTCGTGGAGGTTCGGTTAGGCAAGATAGTTCGGGAGCGGCGTCTCGGATGGATGATGATGCACAGATTGATCCATCTTGGGACCTTCTGGATGTCTTGATGAGTGCGGGGGTATCCCTACCACTGCCGTCCCGAAGAAATCGGCGCCACACCCAGTTTTGAAAATAAACAGTTTATTGCACTTTCAGTTTCTTTTTGTAGTACGCTGGTTGTACATATATTTTTGGCGTAGTCGGATTCATCGAGCTTGTAACGGATGACTCGTGTGGCGTGGCGTCCAGATGTTTGTGCGTCTCTGCCATTTGCTTTTTGTTCTTGCCAGCTCGGACAAAGCAGCTCCCAAAAATGACTGTACTACAAATCGAAGGGTGACCGAGTAAAATCTGTAAGAAAACAGGGATACTGGCCAAGCTCGCGTCATTCTCAACGGACCAGAACCTCCTGGCAGAATCCTGGCATCCCCCCTGGTTGTGCTGGCTGGAAGGTCTGGCTGACGATTTTCTACACTTTTGACGTTGTCGCTGAATGATGATACTGTATTTTTTTTTCCAACCCCGTGCTGTAAACTCTCAACGGGGCTTGGCGTTTACCGATTGCAAGTGTGCGATGTGCTCCATCAACACGAACGAATTTAGATGCATTCTTTGGTGTCGGCGACAAGATACCTGTCAGTCTGTTTTGTTTTGCTTGCCCTCGTCGCTCCGTCGGTTTCGCTAATGGCCATGGCTGCTCGCAGCCTTCTTGGATTCGCGAAGGAGGCAGAATGGCTGCATGCAACAGCATCAGGCTGGCTGCTTGGAAACAAGTGGTTGCACTTCGGCTGCCCAACCTTATCGCTTCCGAGACATGCTGTGAACCGTCGATAAGGTTGGTGTCAAGCATCACGTACCGTGCGATCAGACCTTGTTCCCTTCAGTCAATTCCCTGGTTGGCCATCGTCGCCCAAGCCAAAACCCATTGCCAAGAGGCTCCAACCCCGCTTTTCCTCGCTGGCGGAAACAGTTTTCCGCAACACAGGTCTCCACCGCACAAAGCTTCCGCAACCGGCATCTCCCCACGCGCGAACTCAACCCCCATTTGCGCGCCATCCCAAATCCCATCCTCGCAAAACTCCGAAGAGAAGAGCATCGAGATCTTGACCTTTCTCGACACTGTAAAAAAACATTCGATTGAGCGTTGCCATTGGTGCTCATGATCCTTCACCTTGACCGTAACGGAAGGGGCAGAATCTCCAACACCATCGGGTTCCCCCCAACTCCCCCATACGCGCACTCTTCGCTTCCAAACGAAACCCTCGGCGCAAGGTAGCCAGGCGGCGCTTGGACAGCCCCTCGAGGTCATCCCTCGCGTGCGGTGAAATCAAAAGTCTTTGTGCCGCAGGGGAAGGGCGGGCAAGAGAAGCAGCCAAAAGGCTGTGAGGCTGGTCTAGGAGAGCCAGAGTTCTTCTGTCCTTTCCTGTCCTGTCTTTCTCCTGTCCTCAACTCCTGGCTTCTTCCTGTGCTGTTCTCCCGTTCTTGTCGTCGTCCTAGGGCCCACCCCTTGCCTGTTGGTACCGATTGCTGTTTGCGCTAGTATCCGATTCCAGCTGAAGATAAGCCAATTTGCTGTTCGGCCTTCTTTGTTCAAACTTGACAAGGTGGGCAAAGCGGCTTCCACCCATTTATTGATATTGGTACGCCCTTTCATGAGGAGCTCATGTCCATAGTTGGATTCTATATTCCACAATGGCTTTTCAAAGCACCATTACGTGTTGCTGATATGCTGTTGTCTTCCTGCGCTTTTCGGCCGTCCCCATTGTGCATACTAGTAGACTTGAGCTTTGTGTCTGCTTCTCCCATTGATGCTTCGCGATGTTATTCTTGATGCAATTTCCCTTACCATGTCCTTTTTTTTTTCCTCTACTACCGTGTCCAATGTGTATCCAGATCTGGAGTTCCGCCGAAAGGAGTCTCGCAACTTTCTCCAATCTAAGCTATTGTCTTGGAGAATAAGGGTCGATGTCGCTTCCTCCTAAGGCGCTGACGATTCAGCTCCCGCCGAACCAATTTGAGGACGATGCGGGAGGCGGCAGTTCGTCTGATGGCAGCGGCGCAGACGGCGTGGCGAAGAAGGAAGAGGAGACTCAGAACACGGGAACGCCGAGTGGTTCCTTGAAGCGGAAGCGCAACCTCCCTGGAAACCCAGGTACGGCATTGACGCGTAGTAATGTACGAAAGCAAGGTTTGTTTTTTCTTTCCAAACCTTATATGGAAGGTGAGTCTGCTTTTATGTGCGGATGCACCTCCTCCTGTCGCCTAACGCTTCCGATGGAACGCTTTCTTAACAATGTTTCTCTCTCTGGCTTCGCATTTCTCTTCTCCGTTCTTATTCGCAGATCCGGACGCGGAAGTTGTCGCTCTGTCCCCGCGCACACTCCTCGCCACCAACCGGTTCGTGTGCGAGATTTGCAACAAGGGCTTTCAGCGCGACCAGAACCTGCAGCTGCACCGCCGCGGCCACAACCTCCCTTGGAAGCTCCGCCAGCGGACCACGCAGGAAGTGCGGAAGAAGGTTTACGTCTGCCCGGAGCCTACTTGCATCCACCACGACCCGTCCAGAGCGCTTGGAGATCTGACCGGGATCAAGAAGCATTTTTGCCGCAAGCATGGGGAAAAGAAGTACAAGTGCGAAAAGTGTTCGAAGAAGTACGCCGTGCAGTCGGATTGGAAGGCCCACATGAAGACGTGCGGTACTCGCGAGTATCGATGCGATTGCGGTACTCTTTTTTCAAGGTAATAAATTCGGCTCTCTTCATTCTAACCTGATATTAAGCTTCCCGCGCCCCAACCCCCCCTTCCTCCTCCCGCACCCCCACCGATTTCTTCAATTTGCGCGTCGGTTTGGCCTTTTCTATAACGTCCTCGCCCTTTTTTTCCCCCTTAGGGAAATTCCATCATTTTTTTACGTCACTAAAACCTTCGTGTTTTCTTTTTTGGGTATCCTCTCCGCAGGCGCGACAGCTTCATAACGCACAGAGCTTTCTGCGACGCGCTCGCGGACACAGGCCCCACCAGCGTTAAACCCGAGCCTGGCGACTCCGCTGCTACAGGCACCGGCCCCGGGAGCGTCGGCGGACTCAACCACAAAGGCGCGGGGTTCGAGGGAGACACGATGCGAGGCGCTGCCGTCATGTTCGGTGATGACGTCACGAAAGCCGCCGCTGCTGGCGCGGCTCTTTTGCCGGGTCAACAGCAAAATTTCCAGTCGCAGGGGCTTCAAGCGTCGCAGCAGCAGGGCTCGCAGCAGCAGTTTTCGTCGCAGGAGTTCGCAGATCTGGTCAGCCGAGCCATGAACAAGCAAGGCGGGGGCGGTATGGGGTTGTGGCTCGGCCAAGGATCCAACAGCGGAGGGCAGAATCAGGGTATGACGCCGCAGCAGCAGATGCTGCAGGCTGTGACGCAGGGAGGATTGAACCCGAGCGCTCTTCTTGCGGCGATCAACAATAGTGGCGGTAACATGGCGAGCCTGCTGGCTGGTGCTGGAGGTGGCTCCCTCGGGGAAGCGGCGGCGTTACTGCTGCAGCAGAATCAGCAGAATCATCAGCAGCAGCACCAGCAACAGCAGTCAGACCAACAGCAGCAGTTATTGATGCAGCAGCAGCAGCAACAGCAGCAGCAACAACAGCAACAGCAGCAGCAACAGCAGCAGCAGCAACAGGAGCCCCAGGATCAGCAGCAAGTGCTTTTGCAGGCGCTTCGCAACATGGGAGGATCCAATCAGCTTCTGGCGAACCTCGACCTCTCTAAAGTCTCCAGTCTTCTCTCGTCCCTGGGCGGCGGAGCTGGAGGTAAGGACATTGGCTCCTTAATCTCCTCCCTTCTCGGCTCCAACGGCAGCACGGCTCCTGGGGGTAACCTGGACCCAGGATACGCTTCTAACGCTGGTGGTGGCGGTGACATAAACAGTAACGTTTATGGTGGTGGTGGTGGTAACCAGGGTAACATTTCAGGGCCTGCTGGGGGGCTGTCTGGTGTGGGCATGGGGGGAGATCCCTACAATTCCAGTGGCGCTGGTCTGCACGGGTCTGCGCCAGCCAATGATGACGGTCTAGGGCAGGGCGCGCAGCAGGACGGGCTGCAAGGGCTCTCGGGTGTCAACCTCCCAGACCTGCTGCAGCAAGCAGGCGCAGTGCTCGCCCGCTCCGGAGGTCTGGGCAACCTGGGAGGTGCGGGTGGCCAGGGGTCGTCGCTTCTGACGAGGGCAATTGAGACGTTGGCGAGTCAGGGGTTGCCGCTTGGTGGGGGGCAGAACTCGGGTCTTCTGGATGCTGTTGCTGGCCTGGCAGGAGGAGGGCAGGGCAACTTTGGTGGGGCGGTTGGTGCTCTGGCAGGGTCGTTGCAGCAGCAAGACCAAGTGAATAATGGTGGGGGTGGAGGGATGATGGGAGGGCATCAGCAGCAACACCAACAGCAGCAACAGCAGCAACAGCAGCAGCAGCAGCAACAGCAGCAGCAACAACCGCAACAGCTGCAGCTTCCAAATGATTTGATTCAGCGATTGGCGGATAAGCTGCCGCCCGGTCTGAACGTGGACACACTGCAGTCTGCCCTCAGCATGTACCCTGAGCTTGGCGCAAACGGGGCTCTGTCTTCTGCGCTCAACACCCTGCTCTCAGGAGGAGGTGGTTTTAACGCAGCTCCGCAGCAGCAACAGCAAGTGGGGATGGTGGGAGGGGAAAATGCAGATGGTTGGGGTGGGGGTGGCATGGGTGGAGGCAATGGTGGTGGGCTGGAACAGGGGATTTCGGGCATTCAAGATATATTCTCTTCTGGAGGAGGCCAGAACTCTGTGATGGCTGCGATGCTGTCTGCTAGCAATGGAGATTTGGCAGGTGGACTGGCGGGGGCTTTTGGAGGGGATGGCAGCGGGGGCTTGCTCGGTGCTGGAGGTGACATGCCTTCTGCTTTGCAGAATATGCTCATGTCCAGGCAGCAACAACAACAGCAGCAGTTCAAGCAGCAGCAGCAGCCACCGCAGCTGCAGCAGCAACAGCAGCTCTTGCAGAGTGCAGGTCTTAACACTGACTCGCTGACTGCTGCCTTGCAAAGGGCGCAGCAAGGCGGCCATGATCTTGGAGCATTTGGGACAGTGACCAGGGATTTTTTAGGTCTTGCTCGCTCCGTGTCAGCGTCTAGAAATGTGACCGAGCTGCAAGATCTGGCAGCTTTTGGTGCGACAGCAATGAATGAAGGTGCCACTGGCTAGATCAGTAGCTAGCATGAATAACTCTGGTGCATTTTTATTTTAATGTCAAAATGCATACCTATTGTGCAGTGTTCTAAAAGAGGGACTTTCTTTTGGTGAATAGAAGGTGGTTTTGTAGTGAACAGCCCAACCAGCGTCGCACATTCGTGCGTGCGGCAGATCGAGCGGCTTGGAATACCGTCCGTCCGTGATAGGTCGCTCGCTTGCGACAAACTTCCACGGCATATTCGCCGTGCGCTGTGCACGGGGGGAGGACCAAACGGATGGGTCAGGTCAGGCCAGGACCCAGGCCGGGTCAGGGGGGGACCTCGGCAGAAGTTAGTGGTGCACATTTACTGCGCGCACCGGAAGCGAGGGGCACAGGGGCAGCACTTGCGCGCTGAGCTGGCGGAAATGGAGGTGCTTTTTGGCGGCAACCAACCTCGAGGAGGCTAGGTTCGCTCTTCCGCAACCTCGATTTCATCCTTTCGCCACCGACCCAACGGCCCTGTTCGACAGGCACATAGCCACGGAAAGGAAACGGAAGTGGATGAGGCTTCCGCCGAGGTTTCCCCTCTTACCACGCCAACCGGACCTGCTGACGTCATGCCACCGCTTCCTTCGCTCCTTTTGACAGAACCTTCGGACGGAAAATGCAGAAACCCAACCCCCAACTTCGCCAATACGAGGGAGTGTACTTCAAAAATGGCATACGCAAAATCAAGGCAACGGATGGCAGCGAAGGTCATTCGAACCAAAATAAGTTTCGGTTCAAGTACGGTACTACCAGGTTGGCTGCCCCTGGATGATGGGGATTTGGTTGGGAGCATTTTATTTTTCATGAGAACAAACCAGTTGCAGGCATGTGTATGTGTCCAGGAGTGATTTGCAGGGTAAACCCTTGGTATCCTGTCCTCCACCTGTTCCGTTCCATGCCAGCAAGAGTTCTGCGAATTGAGTGGTTTGTAGAAGGGCTGGAGGCGGAAGTGGTGTTTGCCTGGGTAGGAAGGTCTGTCTCGCGTTCGAGATCAGCAATTCCGTGGTGGAATTCGGGTGTTCTGCAGCCATCTACTTTCCGTTTGGTTCGGACGGAAAATGGCAGGCTCGAGACAAGTTTTAGGGCTGACCGCATTTTCGAACCTAAAAAAGCAGGGGCACGAAGGTACCTATTTCCCTTACCATAGCCATCGAGGTGCCTGTCGAACAGGGCCAACGAGCGATGGTTGGGTGGGGGTTGGTGAGGCGGGGAAAGAGGCTTGGGAGGGGAAGGTGAGACATGTGCTCCTTTTTGAAACTCGTTGGGTGGGACTACCTGCCACGCTACTCCGCCAGGCAAAAGCTCACAATGGAGGAGCAGTAGTAGAGAGTAATACTTACTGCGTAGTGATTTATTAGTTGTGTTTTGGCTGCCAGCTGCATGAGAGGAATGCCTGACAAGGCGTTCTGTGTGTGCGACGTCCTTGACCTGTTGTAGTACGTGCCGCACACGCTGACGGACCTTGAGCGAGCTCCTTAAACAACGGTCGGCTCTTACTGCGATTCTCGTGCAGCTCGCCACCATGTCTACCTCATATCGAAGGTTAAGAATCAAGCTTTGGAAACTTTCTGTGCTCTTCTGGCGCTAGGTTTTCCTCTCGTCGGTTCATAAGGTGAAGTTCTGGTAAAATAATACATTGCATTATATTAGCCTTTAACCAGCCCATATCGTTCGTTCTCGACTTATTTTCTCAGCACAGCTCGCAATCGACAACAATGGGAGACACCCTAGGCGCTATAGTCGAGTACTTAGAACGGAATAAGTTCCTCTCAGCGGCAGCAGCCCTACGCTCCGAAATCTCCAACAAGAAGCAGCCGAGACCCAACACTCTTGCCTCTAGCCACTCGCTCCCGCCGCTCTCTCCGTCCTTCTCCCCCTACCCAGGCTCCCCTTCCCTCCCACCTCCCGATGCCTCCGATAATGACGTCAACATGTTCCTCTGGATGAAGCACGAACAGATGTTCTCCAACTCAGCCTCGACACCAGGTTCGGGATCAGGTTCGGGCTCAGGCTCGGCAGGCGGAGGCATATTCGGTGCGGCATTCTCCGGTTCGGGGCTCTCGGGGGCGGCGGATGGCGCAGGCGGAGATGCGGGCGGGAGCGGGACTGGCGGCGGGTTCTCGGGTTTCCACCCGATCGCGCGAGGCAACAGCGCTCCGCCACAGTTTCTTCAAAACGCCATGCTCAAATGGTCTCCGCCCAGCTCTCCCCCCGCCGGAGGTATGTTCGACCCCGCGCCAGCGGCGGAGGCCTCTAAGCCGCCGCGCGCGGGGGGAAGCGAGCACCCGTTCTCCCCGTCCTTCTTCCCTACGTCCCCCTCGCTGCCCTCCCCCGCGTCTCTCGACGTAGTTCCCGAGGAGGACGTATTTTTGGGAGCCGAGGATGCGGATTCTGCGCCGGCGAAATCGGAGGCGGCGGAGGCGGGAAAGGCGGGCGGAGGAACGAGAGATGGTAAGAATAGCGGAGAGGGTAATAACGAGGGTAATGCGAGCAGTGCGGCGGCTTCTGCGACTGCGGTTATTCCGCTGCTTGACGATGGTGATGCTGTGTTCTTCGGCTCGCCGGCAAAGCAGCCGCCAGTCCCTCTATTCGGCGAAGTGACTACAACGGACCCTTTTCGCGGGTCTTTAGAGGCAGCTGCGGCAGCCGCGGCCGCCGCAGCAGCCGCCGCAACAGGCGGCGGGAAAGGCGCATTAGGTGTCTTGGACGCAGAAATGCCGCCTAAGATAGGGTCGACCCTGCGCAGCAATAGCTCCCGCCCGTATGACGTCAACAGCAGCGGCGGAAACGAGACTCCGCCCAGCGGAATGGCGAAGAGCAGCAGCGCGGGCGGAACCCCCGCGGGGGACACGGAAGGGGGAGGGTTCGGGGAAGAGCTGGACTTTTCCAGCGGGCTTGGCGGGGTCGGGGGGAGCGGGGGGGACGGGGGGAGCGGAGGGGAGAATGCAAGCGCAGGCGGAGACGCTTCCCCCGGGCTGTTTGACCAGGCGTTTGCGAACTCGAGCAATAACAGCACACCGCGCGGGTCAGTAGATATGACTGGTAGCGGGGAAGTGTTTTCTGTTGGCGATGGAGGGGGAGGAAGAGACACGTTAGGACCCCGCCATGGGAGTACGGGCCACGGTGCATCACCATCAACGGGGGGAGTGGGCGGAGTGGGGGGAGGCGCAGGGGCAGGGGGAGCAGCGGCGGGAGGGGCGGGGGACGCGGCGTCGGTGCTGGCGGGGTGGGGGTTACTGTCAGCAGGGGGTAGCGGGTCTTTCGGCGCGACTGGCGCTTTAAAGAGCCCTAACTCGTTTGGAGGGACCTCGCACGCCGCTAACCCTGCTGATGCTGCCAAGCCTCTCGTTCGGGCTTCCTCCGTGCCTACCATCACGTTCGGGCCGGTTGTTGTAGGCTCGGAGGTTGTTCCAAGCCTGAATTCCGTGCCGCTGGGGACGCGCAAGCCTCGTCCGCCAATCAGCCACGCGTCCCTGCCGTCTAACCAGCAGCAGCCGCCGTTGCCGAGCCTGCAGCGCTCGCCCGGTAGCGGAAGCTCGGGCGGAGGTTCGGAGAAGAGGTTCGGCATGGGGAGGCACGGGATGAGCGGACTGAGCAGGGGAAGCCCCCCCGCGAAAGCAGGAAGGGAGGCGGGAAAAGAAGGAGTGTATGTTGTGGGCGGGTACTTGCTATCGTCTCTTTTAATGATTAAAGGAGCGGATGATAACGAGGATATGTATGACGATGAGGAGGACTTAGGGTATGTGAGACGGGCAGTGGGGAACGAGGAGCAGTTTATGTTGATAGAGGCGGATCCGGGGGATGATCTGGAGGACGCGGAGGAGGGGGAGGGCGCGACGGGCGGAAAGGGGGAAGGTGAGGGGAAAGCTGGCGGGGGAAAGGGGGAGCAGGGTAGCGGGAGTGGGGACTTGGAAGGGAAGGGGAGCAAGGGGAAGGAAGCAGGGAAGGGTGGGAAAGAGGGGAAGCGGGATTCGGAAGGGGGGGATGAGGAGATGTATTTTTCGGGGGAGGACTCGTATCAAGAAGCGGAGGGGGGGGAGGAAGGGGCGGGGGGCGACGGGGGAAGCGAAGCCGAAGAGGCTGCGGGGGGGAAAGGGCACCGATCGGTTCCGAGCTTTGGGGTGGTGGATGCGTGGGATGGGATGTTCGAAGGGCGGGGCGCGGAGGGGACGAAAGGCGCGCGGAACGGGGGCGGAGCGGAGGGGACGGGCGCAGGGGCGCGGCAGAAGCGGCAGGGCGGAAAGGGGCAGTTGAGCGGGCAGGTAGAGGAGGAGGAAGGCGAGGGTGAAGAGGAGGAGGACGGGGAAGACGACGAGGGCGAGGAGGGGGAGCTCTACGAGGGGCAGTCGGTGGGCGCGGATGCGGGGAGCTCCATGCTGGGTTCCGTGCAGGATCTGGACGAGGACTGCGCGCACCCCACCCCCACCGGCTCCCGCCCCCGCCTTGGCGTTCTCAGTGACGAGGAGGCGGAGGGGGAGGCGGAGGGGGAAGGGGAAGATGGGCTGGGCAAGGGGATGCGGGAGAGGGCGGAAGGTGGGGCGGATGGGGTGGAGATAGAGATGGGGGACGGGGGGGGCGCGGGCGCGGGGGAGAAGGAGGAGGGCGCGGAGGGTCCGCGGAAGCGGCGCAGCTGGAAGGGCGGAGACGTGGGGAGTGCGTCGTTTGGGATTGTGGACGAGGTAACAGGCGCGAGGGGCACAGGCGCAGCCGCAGGCGCAGGCGCAGGGCTGTTTGTGTCTACCGCAGCAGCAGCAGCAGGAGGAGGGCAGGGCGGGGCTGCTGGGGCCGCCAGTGCCGCTGCTGATGCTGCTGGCGGGGGCAGCGGCGGGTTTGGCGATTCCTTCTCAGGCGGATTCTCCTTCCCGTCGCCGTCCAGTGAAGGGCTTTCCAGGGAGGGTTCTGGGTGGTCGGGGGGCGGGGGGACGCCTGGGGGGGATGCGGTGAATATCAGCCCTTCGGATACTCTGGGCGGAGGGGGGGCGGAGGGGGGGGGGGGGGGGGGGAGGGGAGGGGGCGCGGGGGAAGCGGGGCTGGCGGATGAGCTGGCGAGCGGGCTGGAGCGGATGGGGAGCGTGGCGGATAGTACCCTGGAGGTGTGGAAACGGCAGGCTAGTGGCACATTCGCTAAAGTCACAGCCATGGACTGGGATCCCCCCGCTGCTGCTGCTGCTGCTGCTGGTGGTGGTGGTGGTGGTGCTGCTGCTGGCACTGGGGGTGCTGGCGCGGGTGGTGCTGGTGCGGATGGGGAGGAGAAGAGGGCGAAGAGTGGGGGAAAGAAGGAGGAAGGGGATGCGGAGGTGGGCGGCAGGGGCGGTGATGACATGCAAACGGATGGTGATGTGGCAGTGAAGGGGAGTGGGGGGAGTAAGAAGGGGAAGGGGAAGGGGAAAGGGGCGAAGGGGGAGGAGGAGGGGAAGGATGGGGCGGGAAAGAAGGGGGATGAGGGCGAGGAGGAAGCGGGGGAGAAGGGGGAAGGCGAGGTGGAGGGGGCGAAGAAGGGGGCGGAGGGGGAGGAGAAGGCGGGAGGGGGTGGCGAGGAGAAGGAGGAGTTTGAGATCTTCAACCTGCGAGTCATCCACCGCAAGAACAGGTGAGCGCGGAAGAGATGGCTGAACATGGATGGTTTGATGTTTACAGCCCATGTTGACAGGGTAACCTCTCCCAAGCATTGCCCATGTCTCCCCATTGCTTCTCCCCTCCCCCTTCCCTTCTCCCCCATGTAGTTGGGATCAGCAGCCTTCGGCAAGGCGATCCAGGTGCATGACCCGCACACAGGCATGGGCATGTGCATGAAGATCAAACGCTCCCTTGCCCTTTTCCCCTCCTTGCATGTCTTCCTCGCCCCCTTCCCCTCCTTGTGTGCCCCCACGTCCCCACCACAACGTGGTTCGAGGAAGAGAAGGACTTCCCAGTGGTGCTCAACTCGGTGATAGCGGGGCGCTACTACGTGACAGAGTACCTGGGGTCAGCAGCCTTCAGCAAGGCCATCCAGGCGCACGACCTGCACACGGGCATAAACGTGTGCATGTCAAGCCCTCCCTCGTGTTCTCACCCCGGTACCATCCTTACATGCCATCCTCATTCCCTTCCCCACCTTTTTTCATGCCCATTCCAGAACGGGATTTGAGGAGGAGAAGGACTTCCCAGTGGTGCTCAACTCAGTTATAGCTGGCCGCTACTACGTCACGGAATATCTCGGTTCAGCGGCTTTCAGCAAGGCCATCCAGGCGCACGACCTGCACACGGGCATGGACGTGTGCATGAAGATCATAAAGAACAACAAGGACTTCTTCGATCAGAGCTTAGATGAGATCAAGCTGCTCAAGTTCATCAACCGGCATGACCCTGCGGACGAGCACCACCTGCTGCGCCTCTACGACTACTTCTACCACCGGGTGAGTGGGTGAGCGAGCGAGCGAGCGAGCGAGTGGGTGAGTGCGGTCGGTGAGTGGGTGAGCGGTTGCGTGTGTGTGCATGCCTCAGGAGGCATGACCCCGCAGACGAGAACCACCTGCTGTAGCGCTACGACTGCTTGTACCATCAGGTGGGTGGGTTGGTTTTGCAAATTTCCAGAAGCGATTGAACAAATTTGTTACTGAACAACTCAAACATTGCTTGGCCAGCATTAACCCGTTGACTGGCCCCTTTCAATGAGGCTTCTCCCTCCCTCCTCCCCTCCCTATCCCCACGTCAGGAGCATCTGTTTATAATCTGTGAGCTGCTACGTGCCAATCTCTACGAGTTCCACAAGTACAACCGCGAGTCGGGCGGCGAGGCCTACTTCAACATGCCGCGCATCCAGGTGCGTGTGTGCCACGTCAGCGCATTCAGGTGCATGCCACATCAGCGCATTCAGGTGCATGCCACATCAGCGCATTCAGGTGCATGCCACATCAGCGCATTCAGGTGCATGCCACGTCAGCGTATCCATAATCTGGGCTTATCCACTGCTTTGCAATGTGAAGCCCCTTGCATCCCGTCGTCCACTTCCCCCATGGGCCCTGCTCCGCAACGCTTCCAGGAAGCACCACGCTTCATGCACTTACTGAGGCTCTCACCCATTGCGACCTCAACCCTGAACATACCCATAAAGAGCTACTCGCGGTGCTCCATTCCCACTTTCCACCCCCACTCCCATCCCCATCTTCATTGCTTCCTTCCCACACCCCTCCCGCTCCCCCACTCCCTCGTTTCCCCAGGGTAAGCCAGTCCATTGCCAAGCAGATCCTAGAGGCCATGAAGGTACTCACAGGGACTCATACCCTTGCGTTGAAACCTTCATGCGTCTTCTATCCCATCTCCCACAATCCCCCTGGGCCTGCAAGCCCACCCTCCTCCCTGTGTGTGCCAGTCCATAGCCAAGCAGATCCTCGAGGCCCTGCGCTTCATGCACTCCCTCGGCCTGATCCACTGCGACTTGAAGCCCGAGAACATCCTCATTAAGAGCTACTCGCTCTGCTCCTGCCCCCACCAACCTCCCTCTCCATTCCTCCCTTTCCACACCCCTCCCGCCTGCTTTCCCACTCCCTCTTTCCCCTTTGTGTGTGCCAGTCCATAGCCAAGCAAATCCTCGAAGCTCTGCGCTTCATGCACTCGCTCGGCTTAATCCACTGCGACTTAAAGCCCGAGAACATCCTCATTAAGAGCTACTCGCGGTGCCTCGTTAAAGTCATCGACATCGGCAGCAGCTGCTTCACCACGGACCACCTGTGCTCCTACGTGCAGTCGCGCTCATACCGCGCGCCCGAAGTCATTCTCGGGCTTCCATACGGGCCCAAGATCGATATCTGGTCGCTCGGCTGCATCCTCGCTGAGCTTTGTTCCGGCCAGGTGAGACGGATGGGGAGAGGACGAGGGAGAAGAGGGGGGGAGTGGGTGGGTGAGCACAGATCACCGCGACTGCTACCCGATGTCATCCCCAAGATCGACATCTGGTCCCTCGGCTGCATCCTCGCTGAACTGTGCTCCGGACAGGTGAGCATGGGGAAGAAGACGGGGGAGAAGAGGGGGGGAGGAGGAAGGAGGAGAGGGTGGGGGGAAGAGCAGGGGTGGGGGATCGCGAGGAGGGAAGAGGGTGGGTAAGCACAGACCACCTCGACTGCTGCCCGAGGTCATCCTGGGGCTGCCCTACAGGCCCAGGATTGACATCGTGTTTGTTTGTTTTTTCATTGGCTTGTGTGTCCAATCGTTCATGGTTGTTCCTTGGGTGTGTGTGTGCGAGCAGGTGTTGTTTCAGAACGACTCGCTGGCGACGCTGCTGGCTCGCGTGGTGGGCATCATAGGCCCCATCGACCCGCGTCTGCTGCACAAGGCCCGCGACCGCCACAAGTACTTCACCAAACGCAACGTGCTCTACGAACGCAACCCAGTGAGTGCAGGGCAGTGTGGTGCGGTGCAGTGTAGTGCATTAGGGTGCGGTGCAGTGCAGTGATGTGCTTGCATGCTGCATGCTGCTGTGCCGTGTTGCGCAAGGCCAGGGACTGCCACAAGTACTTCACCAAGCGCAACGTGCTCAATGAACGCAACCCGGTCAGTTTGAGTGCGGTGCAGTGCAGTGCAGTGGTATGGGTGCGGTGTGGTACAGTGTATTATTGTGTGCTTGCACGCTGCATACCGCTGTGCTGTGCAAGGCTAGGTACTTCAACAATCGCATGGTGTTCTATGAACGCGCCCCGGTCACTGTGTGATAAGGTGTGGTGCTGTGCGGTGCAGTGTGGTGGGGTGCAGCCTGTCAGTTCCTGTGGTATGGTGTGGTATGGTGTGGTGTGGGGTGCTATGCGATGCTGTGCTGCATCATACTTCACAGTCTGAGTCTGCAAGGCCAGGAACCAACTCACTAATTCACCATCCCCATTCCACCCTATTATCGTCTCCCTCCCTCTCGTTTTCCCCCTCGTCTTTACGCCTTTCTTCCCCCTCAACCTTAACAGGAGACGGAGCAGCTGGAGTATCTGGTGCCAAAGAAGACGTCGCTGCAGCACCGCTTGCAGGGGGGCGACGCGGGGTTTGTGCAGTTTGTGGCGTCGCTGCTGCAGGTGGACCCCGACAAACGCCCCTCTGCCGCCCAGGCCCTCAAACACCCCTGGCTCTCTCACCCCTATGACCCCATCACGTGATCACCACTACGGGACCTTCACCACCATCATAGCCCCCTGTGATACCGTATGAGCTCCCCACTACAGCCTTGTGTGTTAATTGTAACCATTACGTTACATGCTTTTTACTCTCAAAGATCGCATGTGTATCGGGTGTGACGTAACTGTGTGCCATGCCACATGTAGTTGTGGCTGCTTGGTCTGGTTGCGAAGAGTCTAGACCCATGACATCAGAGCAATTGTGAGCGTTTAGATCATGGTATGTTCAGGATGGGACTGGTCTGCGGGGTTACTCACAGAGGTATACCGTAGATAAGCAAACCTACCGTATCAGGCTGACATGCGATGCAGCTCTCCTCATTTCTGCCCTGTGCAGATCTTGGTCTTTCTGTGCTTCAGGAACAAGGATCTTGCCTTGTGTGTACACGTATTATTAATCATAACTATTGTTAGTGTTATGGACAAAATGTATAACGTTCTTAATCAAAAGGGCATGATGCTTTGTGGCAAGAATGTCCTACCGTATGTGATGGCAAAAAGCCATGATAATGACCTCAAGTGCATAGGCATTTGGATCTAAGCTACAGTGCATAGCAAATCAAGTAATCAGCAACACGAGTTAGTACCTATATGCAAAACAAGTTGCACTGTATATCAGCATGCCTACAGTACAGAGCCCTGACCTGACCCCTGGTTGCAACCCAAGGCACACACACATGCGGCCTTAGCAATGAATGAAGAGTACACCCGGGTGACGGGTGTGCTTGAAGAGTACACCACGGCCACGGCACAAATACGACTTGCCAGCTCATGTGCACTGTGCAGCGTGGGAGCACGCAGGTCACTTGCAGCAGTGCTGGCGAATCCAGGGATGCTCTGCATGGGAAGAGAGGCGAGAGGCGAGAAGTGAGAAGACTGGAGAAACAGAGAGGCAAGAGTGACTGAGAAGCCTACCAATCACCAAGCCTACCACCAAGCCTACCGTACAACCGAGCCTACAACTCACCGAGCACCTGCAGGGCCGATATCCTCTTCTCAGGGTCCCTCGTCAGCATCCTCGCCACGAGGTCCCTTGCCGCCCCCGACACCGCGGCCCAGCGGAAGTGGCCGAAGCGCAGCGGCTGGCGCAGCACCGCATCTTCTGTGGAGCGGCCCTCGCGTTGCGACGGCCAGAAGGGGAGCACGCCTGAGAGCATGACGAATAGCACGACTCCCGCGCTCCACACGTCCACCAGAGGGGAGTAGCGTCCCCCTGAGAGCACCTCTGGTGCCATGTACTCTGTGGTGCCTGCCGTGTGCCTGCACATGCCGTCTGGTGGTGGTGTGGGGTGGAGATGGGGTGGCGTGGGGTTGGGTGGGTTTGGGTTGGGTGGAGGTTGGGTGGGTTGTAGATGGGGGATGGGTGATAAGATGGGGGGATGGGGGCTAGTTGGGATGTATGGTAACACCAAGCGAAGCATGAGGTAGCGTTTGCGAATGGAGGTGTGGGAGGGAGGGGAGGCTGCGCATGGGAGTGGTAGTAGGCATGCTTGGAAGTGCACGGGGAGAGAGTGGCACAAGAGAGGGTTCTGGCCACACCATGGTCAAGGAAGGCAGCGACGCCAAAGTCAATGAGCTTGATGTGCAGATCGCACTCCCCATCACCAAGAAACGACACTGTGCTGCTGCCCACCGTGGCTCCTTTCCGCAGCAACCCCAGGTGCTCGCCAGCATCACCAACCCCATCACCCAGACCCAGACGAACACTGCTCCCCTCTCCTCCTCCTGCTGCTGCACACGTGGCACTGCTCCCTGTGCTAGCCGTGCGGCGCGCTGCAGCAGCGGAGGAGGAGGAGACGAGGAGGATGTTTTCGGGCTTGACGTCGCGGTGGACGATGCCGGTGGCGTGGCAGTGCTGCAGCGCCCCCACCAGCTGCTGGAGGAGTCGTGCCGCTAGCGGCTCGGGGAGGTGCTTCCTGGCCTTGATTGCGTCGAAGAGATCCCCGCCCGAACAGAGATCCATGATGAGATGGATGGACTGGAAGAGAGAAAAGAGAGAGGGGGGGAAAGAGAGGGAGAGTGCAATAGAGTGGAAATGGGGTTCTTTAGCTGAGGTAAGGGATGTGATAAATTGATTGACATGGGATGCTTGCTTCGCAAATGGAAACGCTCTGATGATGCACCTTGGGATCTCCACGCCTCACCTTGGGATCTCCACGCCTCACCTTGGGATCTCCACGCCTCACCTTGGGATCTCCACGCCTCACCTTGGGATCTCCACGCCTCACCTTGGGATCTCCACGCCTCACCTTGGGATCTCCACGCCTCACCTTGGGATCTCCACGCCTCACCTTGGGATCTCCACGCCTCACCTTGGGATCTCCACGCCTCACCTTGGGATCTCCACGCCTCACCTTGGGATCTCCACGCCTCACCTTGGGATCTCCACGCCTCACCTTGGGATCTCCACGCCTCACCTTGGGATCTCCACGCCTCACCTTGGGATCTCCACGCCTCACCTTGGGATCTCCACGCCTCACCTTGGGATCTCCACGCCTCACCTTGGGATCTCCACGCCTCACCTTGGGATCTCCACGCCTCACCTTGGGATCTCCACGCCTCACCTTGGGATCTCCACGCCTCACCTTGGGATCTCCACGCCTCACCTTGGGATCTCCACGCCTCACCTTGGGATCTCCACGCCTCACCTTGGGATCTCCACGCCTCACCTTGGGATCTCCACGCCTCACCTTGGGATCTCCACGCCTCACCTTGGGATCTCCACGCCTCACCTTGGGATCTCCACGCCTCACCTTGGGATCTCCACGCCTCACCTTGGGATCTCCACGCCTCACCTTGGGATCTCCACGCCTCACCTTGGGATCTCCACGCCTCACCTTGGGATCTCCACGCCTCACCTTGGGATCTCCACGCCTCACCTTGGGATCTCCACGCCTCACCTTGGGATCTCCACGCCTCACCTTGGGATCTCCACGCCTCACCTTGGGATCTCCACGCCTCACCTTGGGATCTCCACGCCTCACCTTGGGATCTCCACGCCTCACCTTGGGATCTCCACGCCTCACCTTGGGATCTCCACGCCTCACCTTGGGATCTCCACGCCTCACCTTGGGATCTCCACGCCTCACCTTGGGATCTCCACGCCTCACCTTGGGATCTCCACGCCTCACCTTGGGATCTCCACGCCTCACCTTGGGATCTCCACGCCTCACCTTGGGATCTCCACGCCTCACCTTGGGATCTCCACGCCTCACCTTGGGATCTCCACGCCTCACCTTGGGATCTCCACGCCTCACCTTGGGATCTCCACGCCTCACCTTGGGATCTCCACGCCTCACCTTGGGATCTCCACGCCTCACCTTGGGATCTCCACGCCTCACCTTGGGATCTCCACGCCTCACCTTGGGATCTCCACGCCTCACCTTGGGATCTCCACGCCTCACCTTGGGATCTCCACGCCTCACCTTGGGATCTCCACGCCTCACCTTGGGATCTCCACGCCTCACCTTGGGATCTCCACGCCTCACCTTGGGATCTCCACGCCTCACCTTGGGATCTCCACGCCTCACCTTGGGATCTCCACGCCTCACCTTGGGATCTCCACGCCTCACCTTGGGATCTCCACGCCTCACCTTGGGATCTCCACGCCTCACCTTGGGATCTCCACGCCTCACCTTGGGATCTCCACGCCTCACCTTGGGATCTCCACGCCTCACCTTGGGATCTCCACGCCTCACCTTGGGATCTCCACGCCTCACCTTGGGATCTCCACGCCTCACCTTGGGATCTCCACGCCTCACCTTGGGATCTCCACGCCTCACCTTGGGATCTCCACGCCTCACCTTGGGATCTCCACGCCTCACCTTGGGATCTCCACGCCTCACCTTGGGATCTCCACGCCTCACCTTGGGATCTCCACGCCTCACCTTGGGATCTCCACGCCTCACCTTGGGATCTCCACGCCTCACCTTGGGATCTTCAAGAACCTCCTTGAGCCCAATGATGTGCGGGTGGCCCTTGAGCATGTGCAGCATCACCACCTCCTGCCGCACATCAGCCGCATCCTCCACGCACTGCAGCTTCTTCTTGCTGATGGACTTGCACGCAAAGGCACGGCGCGAGCACCGCTCGACGCACGTGTGGATGCGGCCAAACATGCCCTCGCCTATCCGCCCCCTCACCACGTGGTACCGCCTCTGTAGCGCCTCGTATGGCATGCGCAACACACACTCCCTGAAACTGCCACTGCCATCGCCATCCCCCTCGCCACCACCACCACCGCCACTATTACCAGCATTGTCACCATCACCAGCAGCAGCAGCAAAACCACCACCACCAGTGCCACCACCACCACCATCACCAGCAGCAGCAGCAGCAGCAGCAGCAGCACTAGCAGCGCCCGCAGAGGCAGCAGTCACACCTTTCGCCAGCCACACTCGCCACTCTTTCTCCGCACTCGCACCCTCTGCTCCTCCCAACCCCGACCAGCTCCCCTCCCCTCCCCACCCCGTCTCCTCTCCCCCTTCTCCCTCCTCCCCCCCCTCATCCTCCTCCTCATCATCCTCCCACTTCCTCCCATTCCTCACACCACCAATCCCAAGCCCGTTCCTCCGGGGAGAGAACCCGACTCTCGACCCCAGCCTACCAAAGCCCGCTCGTCCTGCCCCACCTGACACCCCCCCCTCCTCCCCACGCCCAGCAACATAGTCCAGCGGGCTCGTGCAGGACCCCGACTTGACTCGGCTTATCCGGCTGCTCCTGTGGTCGCGTTGACTTGCTTGACTGCCTTGACTGCGTTGACTGCCTTGACTGCCCTGGGTGCAGTATTTACTGGTCCGACCAAGGCCGGTGCGAGGGAGCGGGCCTGACAACGACCCTGCAGATTGGACAGCAGCAGCACCCGCGGCAGAATCAGCAGCACCAACGTCAGCGTCCGCGTTGCTGGCGTCATTACTAGCAAACGTGACGTCTGCATAAGCATGAGCATGAGAATGTGCAAGGGCAGAGCGGAAGGCGGCGAGGGCGGAGGCAGAGGAGGAAGAGGAAGCGGAGGAGGCGAGTGAGTGGCGCAGCAGGTGGCATGACGTCAGCAGGGCCTCCATCTCCTTCTCCCTCTCACTCCTTCCACCACCACCACCCCTGTCCCCACTGCCACCCCGGCTGCCACCACCACTGCTGTTCCCCCCGTCCATGCCAATGCCCATTCCGCCGCCGCTGCTGCTGCTGCTCCGGATCAGCTCGCGCCAATCGCGCCACTGCTGCCGCACGTCATGGCTTCCACTGCACCCCATGCTCTCGTGCAACGCCCTCTGCTCCCAGACGCCCTGACTCTCGCTATAGTCACCATTCTGCTCCTGATACAAGCCATCTCGCCTGCTCCCATTCTCCACGTCAGCAGCCCCTCCCATAGACCTTCGCCGGTGCGCTGACGTGGCGTCAAACTCCTGTGCGTATGATGCGTACGATGCACGTCGCAAGAAGGTGGCGGGATCTTTGACCAATGAGTGCTGCTGCTCTTGCTCCCACTGCGGACGCGTTACCCCCTGCATCGCCTGCTGCAATGCGTGCTCTCCTCGCACTTCCCTCTGCGGCGCCACTCCCGCTCGTTCCATGTGCTCCCACATATCCGTCATGCTGCCGCCCACGCGACCGCTCAGCCGCCCACCCACCTGACAAACCACCTGGCCAGTCCTCCCACCACCCACGTCGCTGTCCGCGTCAGCACAGCGCAAGTCCGCGTCAGCACGGCGCAAGTCCGCGTCAGCACAGCGCAAGTCCGCGTCAGCACGGCGCAAGTCCGCGTCAGCAAGGCGCAAGTCCGCGTCAGCAGCGGGGGGGCTGTCCAGCGCGTCGAGGAACGCGAGGGAGAGCTTCAGCGAGCCGAGGGCGTGCCTGCGCGCCGCGGGGGGAGGCGAGGGGGGAAGCTCGAGCGCTTGCCTGCGCGCGCGCGGGGAGAGCAGCGGCGAGGGGGACAGGTACATCCCCGCTATAGCGGGCCCCTCTGTTGAGTCCGACTTCGACTTGGTGAATCGCCACGGCGCGACGGGCGTTGCGGCTGCGTCTGCTGCGGCGCCAGCTGCGCCGTCTCTGGGGGGAGAGCGGGGGGGCGGACGGCGGGAGGCGGTAGGGGAGTGCGCTGGCGGAGAAGCGTCCGCGCGGAGGGCTCCAGGGGAGGCGATCAGGGGGATCTCTCTGCTGCGCTCATCATCCGCCTCCTCCCCTTCCCCCTCTCCCTCCCGCTGCCTGCCGCTGCCGCTTCTGCTGCTGATGCCGCTGCCCCCCTGCCCGCCGCTGCCCGCGTGCCCGCCCCACCGCCCGCTGCCGCTTTTGAGCAGCAGCCGGCGCTCGCGCGGCGTGAGGAGCGCGGGCGACGCGAGCGACTGCGGCGGGTCCATGTGGCGGCTGCTCGTCGCCTTGAGTAGCCGCCTCCCCCGCTCGCCGCCCCCTTCCGCCGCCGCGTCGTGCCCGCTCCCGTACACCTGCTGCTGCGGCGGCGGCGGTTGCTGCTGAGAATGATGATCTGCCGATTCCACCCGCACCGCCAGCCCCGCGCTACCCCGCCGCAGCAGCAGCTCTGCTCCGCGCGGCCCTGCTCCGCGCGCCTGCCGCCCATTGCGATCCGCCGCCACGCCCGCAGCATCGCGCGCTTCGTCTCCGCCCATTACCCTCTCCCTTGGAGCGTCGATTCCGCGGATCCCGCGGCCCGTCGGCTCCTCCCCCGCGCCCTGCGGAAGCACGTCGAACGTGCGCGACTTGCGCGGACCGCCCAGAAACCGGTTCTTCCGCGCCTCGCCGCCGCTCTTCGCGCAGAGGGAGCCGCCACCGCCGGTGCCGCTGCCGCTGTGGGGTTCGTTCAGCATTCTCCCGTTCCGCGTTTCGTTTGCGCCGCCGCGCTCAGATTCTTCTGCGGCTATTAATGGGTTATCACCTAGCCCGAGCCGCATCACGCCGCCGAGAGCGCCCGGCGGGGAGCTCGCTTGGTCCAGCGGATCGAACGCGCGCCTCGCGCTACTGCTGATAATGCCGCCGTCGCCGCCGCTGCTGCTGCTGCTACGGCGCGCGGGAATCGGTTGTCCTCGGAATGAGGCGGAGAGCGGGGAGCGGGGAGAATAGTCCTTCGCGGAGGGGGACGGCGCGGGGGAGCTCTCACCCGCGCAAGCCGCGGTAGCGTCGGGAGTCGATTCCGCGGATACGCGGGGTCCGTCGTCCGCCGTAACGACCGCGGCAGGCCGCGAGGCGGAGTCACGAGACGGCGTCGGCAATCCCGAGGCGGGTAACAATCCGGAGCCAGAGGATACGGCGGAGCCGTGCCGGCGGTGGAAGCGGAATGCGGTACTGCTAGGCGGTTGGGGGGGGGCTGCTATGGGCGGGGAGGGGGCGGCGGGATGATGGAAAGAGAACCCGCCCTTCCCCTCAAGTCCGGAGGAAGACGACGATGCGCGCTTCAGGCGTCGCGCTTGCGCCAGTGCCGCTGTGGCGGTGACGACCGCGAGTGGCGAGGCGGAGGAAGTCGGCTCCTGCGCGAGCGGCGGGAGGTGGCGCGTCGAGCGCCGACTGCGAGCGGAGGCGGAAGAAACGCCGGCCGGTGAGGCGGAAGCGGGAGAGGGATTTGCCGGCCCGCCGGTCCAGCGACAGCTTCCGCCGAGCCGCTCGCTCTCCGCAGTCAACGCGGAACTGCCACGTGGCGAGTTCCCGAGGGATCGTATCGCCCTTCCATGAGGACTCCGGGGGGAGGTTTGGAAGGGGCTAGTCTGGTACGGCTGGAGAGATGGGCTGCTAGGGTGCGATTCAAGAGAGGGGTTACGTGATTGTGGAAGATTGTCGAAAATCGAAGGGCTATTAAGATACGGCTCGGACGGCGGGCTAGAAGGCGGCGAGGGGAAAACGCAGTGATAGGAGGGGGAGGAGGGGCCGGGCGGGGATGCGCTCGCGCCGAATGCGGGAGAGAGAGGGTCAACAGGCGTCGAACCGAAGCTCTCATACGACGACCGCGACGCGCCGTCCGTCACGGTGACGTCAATGCTTCTCGAGGAGGGCCGCGGTACGCTGAGCGGATCAGGGCGGTCGAGTCGAAACGGGAGCGTGGAGCGTGAGAAGAGGAAGGAGGTGGATTGCGGAGAGCCGACGGGAGACGAGAGAGACGTTGGGAACGCGACCGCGGCACTAGGAGGGCTTCTGCGACTGCTGCTGCTGGTGCTGCTGCTGTTCGCGAAAGGGACGGCGACAGGCGACGACGACCCAGAAGCAGCAGGAGAGGCCGAGGCTGATTGGGCGCGAGGATAGGGATCCGAAGCTGCAGGCTCGGCAGGGCAGGCCGCAGAGTCTGAAATAGGCCTGCTTACGCGCCACGATTCGAACGAAGGCTCGTTGAAGCTTCTGCGGCGCGACCGGCCGGCTGGAGGTCTGTAATCGGGCGCTGCGTACTGTAGCTTGGAGCCGTGCTCGGCAGAATCGCCGCTGTGAATGATGTCTGCTCGCGGCGCTATAAGAATGCCCATTCGGAAGGACGCGGCTCGGCTGCTGCGATTCTTCCCGGCCTAGACGCGTCGATACGGCGAGGCTAAAGAGGGACTGAGATACACGTTCTTAGGGCTCTGAGTTCGCTATCGTCGAATGTCGACATGCGGTCAGATCGGTTCGTGACACATCTGTCGCGTTTCTGTGCGTTTTGCCGAGGTGCGGCGGGGTGAGAAGGCGTCAATGTCGTCACCATCCGACGTCGGAGTACTTCGTACATGCTCCAAGGTCTCGGTGGGATGAATCGAGAGCGCGGCGGGGAATATGTTGCTCGCTCCCATGGCTACATAAGGTGTTTTGAAGGAGCTACGGCGAGGTTGCGCAATTTACGGCGAGGGTTCCACCAAGCATCGAGCAATTGCTATTGGAAAAGGTGAATGCTGCCAAGAGGTGGTGACAGGGGAAACGATCTTGGCAGGAGGGTGTGGGGTGGCGGTGATGGGAAGCAACAGTTGCATTTCGACCAGCAGCCATGCCACACAGAGCAAGCATGCCGATTACAGTACGAGGAGGGGACAAGTTTGTTCGGCAGCCCCGTTCGTCACACGACTGACCGATTGCTGCTGTCCATGGCAGAGCGCAGAGCAATCTGGCGGTCACTGGTCACAGATGGGATGGTGTGGGTGGAGTGGGAGGGAGGGATCACACGGTCCGTGCATGCGATGCGACGCGATTATGGAGCGGATCGATGGAGGAAATGACGAACCGCCCCGGTTTCGGATTTCCGATTCCTTTGGGCAGTGGCTTTGACACCGCCTCGCTTTTCCACTCGAGTCCGATTCCTTGGGGCAGCTGATTTCGACATTTCCAGTTTCCGGTGACCAGAAAATTTATAAAGTTTACCTGGTATTAGTCTAGTGGCCAGTGAAAAAAAATAAACCCCTTTCGGAGGGCTGGCCATTAGGGAGGCATCAACCCTAAGGACGCGTCACAAGTAAAATATCGAGGAAGGATCAGGGTTGTTCACCGAACCTGTCAAACCGATCGCCATATCGGTGTGTCACGACTGCTTTGAAGTTTCAAGTGACACGATCGTAAAAACATGGGGCAAAATTGCCCGATGTGGACGAAATTGCACGATCGATGTGTGACAGGGGCACATCGATCGCCTGACTTAGAAGGGAAAACTGTACGTTAGCGAAAATAAACGAAAATGTGTAACCACCTAAACACCGATTCTAGGCAGGATCGATGTTCTACTTGTGACGCGTCCTTAACACCTTGCCTCATGGTGTTTAGGGTTGATGCCTCCCTGACGGCGCACCCCCGTGAGGGGTTTATATTTTTTGTCCCATTAAATAAAACAAAGTTGTAGTTTCTGGACTCCAAATGGGAAAATAGCGTAATTTACTGACCGAAGGTATCGGACGCGAGCGCGAAGCGAGGCGCTGTCAAAAGGCGAAATCGCGCGCATCGGCGGAAATCGTGTTTGTCTCAAAAGAATCGACCCAAATTGCTCCCCGCTCGCCACGTGGGCGTTTTTCTCAATTGATTCGACCCCCTTTCCCCCCGCCCCCCCCCCCCGGGAATCTTAGCGTTACGAAAAAACATGTATTCGTGACGTTTTGTGATTTTACCAAATTCTAGCGGGTGCCCGAATTTCGGAGGGCAAGGGCGGGAAAAACGGGGTGGGGGGGCGGGGGGAAAGGGGGTCGAATCAATTGAGAAAAACGCCCACGTGGCGAGCGGGGAGCAATTTGGGTCGATTCTTTTGAGACAAACACGATTTCCGCCGATGCGCGCGATTTCGCCCTGTCAAAACCACTGCCCAAAGGAATCGGAAACCCGAAACCAGGGCGCTCCGTCATTCCCTCGGATCGATGGGCGAGATGGAGCAAACGACAGCAGTGGAAGGCAAGGCAACCAGCTTGGAAGCGGCGGGGATAGACACCCAAGGACAAGAGTACAGTTCCTGGTACAACAGTATTTCTGCTCATAAATGTACATTCGCATAATGCCTCTATTTGTTCATCATATATGTACGACTATCACCCCTTTATAAAGTTTTCCGAATTTCCCATCAATGACTTCATCTTGTGTCATTTTACCTATTCTGATGGATTTTACCAAGCATTCTAAACGGCTAAATTGATGTACAATCGATCTGTCCACGAACTGGATCTCTACCCCAAGCTTATCAGGTTCTCAAATGGTGTACATGAGACAGTGTCGAAAATCTAGTGCTTGTGAAATGCTGCCGCTGACATGTTTGTGGTGGTGGGGTGGGGAGAGGATGGGTGTGCATTGAATGAGATGGAACGGAGTGGCAAAAAGAACGGACCAGAAAGCAGTTTTGAGGAACCCCGACCCTCGTGGTGGTCAAAAGGTAAACACTGAAATCATTTTCCCCACACCTTGTGGTTCTGCTTCTTTTAGGGCGAAGAAAGCCCAGCAAGTCTAGCAAGAAAGCAAGGCAGTTACAGTTCTGAACCAATTGAATGTCCTCTTTTGTACATGCTAGTTGCCACTGTTACATTTCTGTGTACAGGTGCGAAGCTGCCCTAATCCAGCGTGTTTAGAAATGCTGCAAACCCCACGCGCCGTAACGCTGACAAGTCAGCTCATCTCCCCACAACCACCACACTCACTCGCGTTGAACATGAAGTGAACAGTGTCAGTCAAGACGAACGGCTTGTTCCGAAACTTTTTCCCTCGTTACAACACGTGAGCATACATCGTGCACCAATTGAGGGCCGAGGAATTGATGAAGTGTACTGTGCCGGTTGTGTTGATTTCGTGGCCTGTGGGCAACTCGAGGCCAGAATGGTCGTACACCAGTTACGACCGGAAAGATACATTGTATAATGTATCTCATCCCAAAAAAAAACACAAAAATGCTTGTAGGCAGAACTCGAATATAATTGCTTATGTGAGGAGGTCCAGCATAGATGACCGAGCTGCACCAACGACCCGTATTAATAACGGATGCAAGAAGGCGGGGCAACATCCTTTGGGCAGGTCCAAAAAATCGTACTGTATCCTCTCCACGCTATTGCCTATAACTATGTATCACTCTCCCACACCGCCGAAGAGACCCAGCCATACTAATCTGGACTGCACCATAAACAGCAAACCCTAATACATAACACATAATACATAATTCATCAGTTTAACACGCCCAACATAAGCTACTGCCCGACAACCCAGAGAGCACCACAGCAGGCATCTGTGTAAAGAGTCGTTAAGAGCGCCGAATCCAGAGCGCCTCATCAAGAGCGCTGAATCCAGGGGTGCAGGAGCACCTGGTGCAGGTCTATGCGCCTCCCAGGGTCTTTCTCCAGCATGCGGCGCAGCAGGTCAACCGCAGGGTGCGACAGCTGCACCTGCCCCACACCCTCCTCAACACCACCCTCCACCCCACTGACACCATCCCCACCACTCTCATCACCATCACTCCCACCTGCCACGCCAGTAGTGTCTGCTCCAGGCGCACTGGGAACGGCTTGTGATACCGACTCTGTATCCACTGCTGGTTCAGACACAGTCACTCCCCCTGCCATTGGTGCCTGATACCCATCAGTGCACAGCCCCCCTCCCACGACTACCTCTGCTGCTGCTGCAGCGGCTGACGTGGCGACAGGAGACGGGGACCAACTGAAACAGGGCGAGCATTGGGAGGCCGCTGAGCCTGGCGAGGACGCAGCAGACGACGGCGCCGATACCACACCCTCTCCAGACCGCCCTGCACCGGGCGGCTCCACGCCGGCTGGCAGTGCACCGGGCGGCACAGCTCCGGGCGGGGGCAGCGACTCCCCATCGGGCTGCGCGCCACTGGTAGCTGGTGCAGCAAGAAGGGCGGCAGGGTCGTTGAGGATGGAGGAGGCGAGGGCGGCGGGGGAGGCAGCGGAGAAGGGCAGGCGGGCGGAGAGCAGCAGGTGCAGCAGCACTCCGAGGCTCCACACGTCTGCTGGCGGGCCGTACCCCCCCTGGATCATCTCCGGTGCCCTGTATGCCGGTGCTCCCACTGCCTCCGTGTGCAGGTGACCTGGTGGGGATAAACATGCAGGGAGAGAGCCTGGATGACAGCACTTCCAATATTGGGGGCAATGACGAGAATGGCAGCAAAGGAAGCCCTTTCACCCCACATGTCATGGCACGCCACTGGTGGAATCACAAACGCCACCCTCTCAGCTCACCGGGTTCAAAGAAGGTGGCGTGTTGGAAGCCCGATAGCCGCACGTCCACAGGACTGCCCTCCTGCCCCAGCAGCAGCACAGCCTCCGCTCTCACCCCCCGGTGCACCACCCCCATCTCATGGCACGCCGCCAGACCTGCCGCCACCTGCCGAACCACAGCCGCGGCGTCAGGCTCGGAGAAGGCCCGGCAGGAGGCCAGGCGGTCGGCGATGCTGCCTCCGGGACAGTGCTCCAATACCATGTGGATGGCCTGGTGGTGGGGAGGAAAGGAGGGGTGGGGGGTGACAGAAAAATGGATAATATAGTAAATGCATGAAAAGAGGCTGCCTCTGGGGCAGTGCTCCAATGCCCATGTGGATGGCCTGACGTGGGGGGGTGGGAAAGGGAAGGGGAATGTGAAGTCGACTCGTTGATGAAGGCTGCCTGGGCCAACCCACGTGCTCCCACCCAGAGCCCACCTTCTCCACCCCCACCCTCGTGCTCCCCCCACCTCACCTGCAGGTCTTCAAATGCGCGCAGCAGGGCAATCACATGCGGCGCCCCCCACACCATCTCCAGCATCGCCACCTTCCGCCCCACCATTGCTTCTTAACCTCACATGCACCTGCCCGCTGCTCCCTAGACTCACCTGCTCTCCCCCCCTTCCCCACTCACCTGTGTGTCTTCAAACGCACACAGCAAGGCCACCACATGCGGCGCCCCCCGCACCATCTCCAGCATGGCCACCTTCCGCCCCACCGCCTCCACCGCTGCAGCGCTCCTGAGAGCCGCCTTGCACAGGGAGCGGCACCAGTACTGCCTGCCCGTCCTCCTGCACACACACACCCGCTCCACCACCCCTGCTGCTTCACGCGCCACTGCTGCTGCCGCTGCTCCCTCTGCTCCCTCCGCGCCCTCTCCTTCCCCCTCCATGCTGTAGGCGGCATGCACGTTTGAATACGGTCGCCGCAGCACATAGCGCCTCGCACTCTCCACCCCTGGTTCCTCCTCCTCGTCCTCCTCCTTCTGCTGCTGCTGCTGCTGCTGCTGCTGCTGTTGCTGCTGCTGCTGGCTCCACTTCCCACCCTGCCTTTCCTTCGCTAGTGATTTCTCTGTCCTCCTCACTCGCCCATCGCTGGTATTGCTACCACTAGCGCCGCTGTTGCCACTGGTGCCGCTGTTACTGCTGCTACTTGCCTCAATAAGGTCAGAACAGGAGGAGGGAGAGGAGGCGGAGGAAGGGGAGGAGGAGGGGGAGTAGGAAGTGGAGGAGGCAGGACTAGACACCACCTCCTCCTCTCCAGATGAACACTCTCCCACCTTCACCCTACCACTCCTCTCACCACCACTCCTCTCGCCACCACTCCTCCCACCGCCCTTAGTCTCACCGGACTGCCTCCCCTGCACCCCGCTTAGCCGACTGCCAGCATGCTTGGCACTGCCACCGTCACGAGTCCCTGCCACCGTTCTCTGGAGAGCACTCACCTGCCCGGCACCCGCAGCAGCAGGGAAAGAGCCCTGAGAGCGGACGCTGCGCCCACCCCCCTGCGAGCGCGCAACAGCAGGGAAAGAGCCTGAGAGAGAACCTGATTGGGGGTGCTGCTCGTTGCAAGCGGCCGAACCATCCTTGCCGAACCGAACTACCCGCTTCATTGGCTCGCTGAACCCGCCTGCCCTTCCCCGAGCCTCAGCAGCAGGCTCGGTGAGTGTGGCTGGTTCGGTAATGGTAGGTGGAGCCAGGTACGGGGTGGCGGGTCGTCGGAGGAAGGAAGAGTTGCTGTGAGTCGCCTCAGAAGTAACACTGCGAGCTTCAGATTCCAATTCAGGTGCCGCTTCAGGTGTCTCGTCAGGTGATCCATCAGGTGCCGCAGCTGGAGCCAGATATGGGGTGGCAGGTCGTCGGAGGAAGGAGGAGTTGCTGTGAGTCGCCTCAGAAGTGACACTAGGAGCTTCAGGTACCGTTTCAGGTTCCACTAGGGAGGAATTTTGAGGCGAAACAACCTCAATAGCAGCTGACGTCACCACTGGGGATTGACTGGAGAGAGCGGGGGAGGCGAATGCGAGAGAGGAGGAGGAGGAGGGAATAGAGGAGGAGGAAGAGATGGAGGAAGAAGACGGGATGGAAGAGAGAGAGGGGATGGAGGAGAGAGAGGAGATGGAGGGGGATGAAGAGGAGGGCGAGGGGACCAGAATGGTCGGAGGGGCTTTCCAAGAATGTGGTATCTGCAATCTCCGATTCACATAATCCCTGCTCCCTGCTGCTGCCTCTGCTATCCCTCCCAATCCAGCTGCACCCCTTGCAACCCCTGCACCCGCTGCACCTGCTGCTACTGCGTCTGCCGCTGATGCTGATGCTGAGGTCAATCCGGACACCACGGCTGCTGCAGATGCGGACACGGAACAAGGCACAGCACCGCCCCACAGCAACGACTCCTCCCGCTCGCCTATGCGCGCCAGCCCGCGCTCCTGCGCGCTGCTGCCCTTCATCAGCCTGCGCGCGCGCGAGCCCACTGCTCCACCACCACCAGCAGCAGCGCCTGATTTGCCTGCATCAACTGACCGGCTCGACGGGAAGCGAGAGCTGCCAACTCCGCTAGCGCTGCTGCCAGCAGCAGCATCGCCAGCCAGTGTACTGCCAAGCGCCACGCTCCCTGTGCCTGTAGCTGCCGCTGCAGCTGTGCCCATGCCTGCCTCTGCCTCTGTGGCTATGGCTGCGCCTGTGGCTGCGCTGCCACTGCCTCGCAGACGGGGGGAGGGCGCCTTCTGACCGCACTCGAAGCCCTCTCGCGGCGACGGCGCTCTCTGCGTTGACTGCGTTGACTGCGTTGACTCGTGGCGCGCGGTGGGGGAGGGGGCGCGCTTGAGGGAGACTTTGGCGAAGCCGCGCGTGAGGGGCGAGGCGGAGGGGAGCGAGGAGGAGAGGGGACCGGAGAATGAGGAGGAAGAGGCGGAGAGATTCCCGGAGAAGGGGGAGGAGGTGAGAGGGCCGGAGAAGGGAGAGGAGGAGAGGGGACCGGAGAAAGAGGAGGAGGCAAGAGGGCCAGAGAAAGAGGAAGGGGGAGGCGAGGGGGTAGGTGAGAGCAGTGGTGGCGAGACAGGGGCGGGTGGCGGGTGTGAGAGGGGCGCATTGCTAGGCGCCTCTAATGGCGGGTGCAGCAGCGGGAGCGGGCTGGAGCAACTCTGCTTTACTGCTGTATGCGCGTGCGCGCGCGAAAGAGAGTGTAAGTGCGAGTGCGAGTGTGAGTGCATGTCGTCCCTGCCTGCAGTGCGTGCACCACCATGCATGACGCCATGGACGGCCGATCGCCTGCCTATCCGCTGCTGCCGCTGCCACGCCTCCCCATGCTGCTCCTTCCCTTCCCGCCCCTCCCCCTCCACCACTACCGCGCGAGCCAATCTCCCCCCTGACCACGTGCCAAACACGCCGGTAGCTTCCCCCGCGCCTACCGTGCCCCTCTCCCACTTGGCGCTCTTACTCGCCTCTCTGCTCGCCCACCCCCGCCGTCCCCCCCTCGCCCCCGCGCCACCACCCGCGCCTCTCCCGCCGCCCTCTCCCCCGCTGCCTCCGCTGCTGCTGTCCCTGCCGTCGCCGCCCCCGCCGCCGCCGCGGCCGCGAATGGCGCTGAGGTCGAAACTTCGGCTCGCGGGAATGCGCCCAGACGGCTCACCGCCGCCGCCGCCGCCGCCGCTGCCGCTGCCGCTGCTGCTGCTGCTTATGGCGTCGCTACTGAAGCTGCTCGTGATCCCGCCACCCTCGCCGCTGAAGATGCTGCTTCCGCCTCCGCTTGCGCCGCCGCTGGGGTAGCGCGGGCTGCTGGCGGAAACAGGCGGGCTGATGGGGATGCGCGCGAGGGAAACCCCACCGGGGAGGAGCGTGCGGGGGGAAGGGGAGGCGGAGGGGGAAGCAGGCGCGAGGGAGTTGGCGGAGGGGGAGGAGGCGGAGGGGGAGGAGGCGGAGGGGGAGGTGGAGACGAAGAGAGGGCGCGCAGCGTCTGGCTTCTGCGCAGGCCTTCCCCGCGCGCCAAAGACCGTGAACCCTGGCGGCGCGGAAGACCGCGGGGACAGGGGCGGAATGCCGCTGCGCCTCTGCGCCTGCCCTTCCCCATTCCGCCACGCCTGCACCGCCTCCGCTCCGCCCAGCGTTCCGCCGGTTGCGCCCGTAGAGGCGGCCGCGATGCAAGCCGCGGCGGAGATATGGTGCTGGGATTGCGCGGGTCCAACATCCCTTTCCCCCGCTGCTCCCGCTCCCCCCCCCTCCCCTGCCTCTCCGCCTTCTTCGCCCCCAGACGTTTCAGAAGAGCTTCCGCGCTTCTGCGACAGCAGCTGAATGTGCGCAAGGGAGAGCGGGGGGGAGTTTGCGCCAGCGTACAGCGCGAGCGGCGGGGGAAGGGACGCGGAGGGGGAAGGCGAGGGGGAAGGGGAGGTGGACGAAAGGCCGTGGGGAGACAAGGGGATGTCTAGGCGGGAAAACGTGTTCACGCGGGATGTGACTGGAACGGGCGCGGCAGTCGCGGGGGGAGGGCAGGGCGCGGAAGTGACTGTATGCGGGGCGAACGTTAAGGGGGATACGGAAAGCGACGCGCTGCGGCTTCGGGTGCGCAGATACGCCTCGCGCCGGCTCCGCGCATCCTCCAGCAGCGCCTGCACGTGGCTGCGGGGGGGAACCATCCCCGCGCCTGCGCCCGCGACCGCGACCGCGACCCCTCCAAGTCTCCCGATTCGTCCCGCCTGCCCCTCATCGCATTCCCCCGCGCTCCCCCAGCCCCTGCTAAGCGCCTGGATCCCGCCGCTATGGTTGGCCAGATCGGCTGCCTTTTCCCCCTCCCCGCTTCCCCTCCGCGCGCACGGCAGCGCGCCTGACTCCCCAGCGGACAACATCCGGCCATCTGCGCCGTCCGCGCGCGTTTTGCGCGGGGCTTGTGCGCCGACCAGCCCCCGCGCGTGCGCGTGCCTAGACATGAGCGGCATGATGGCGAGCGCGGTGGCGGCTGCCGCCCTGGCATCCGAGATAGGCGCGGCGATGGGGACGGCGGAAGACGAGGTGGAGGAAGTGCGGGTGGGGGAAGAGTCGGACGGGGGGGAACCGGGGGACCCCGCGAGGGAAACGGGGAAGGTGGCGGAGTGCGCGGGGGCGGAAGGGCTGGCGGGAGGGGAAGCGGCGGATGAGAGAGGGAACACTGACGAGAACGCAGCGGAAGCCGCGGGCCCTGCAGGAGCGGCGGAAGCAACATTATCCGATGGACCGGCGGACGAAGGAGATTTGGCATTGCCTCCGCCTTGCTGTCTCCCGTCCTCGCCGCGTCCGCTCCGCGCCTTGGCGCGCCACTGCGACAGCACCGCCAGCGCGCGGCTTACTTCCTCTGGCGGATCTACGGCCACCGCTGCTTCCGCGGAACTCCCAAACACTCCCGCCTTGTCAGACGCCGTCTGAATGGCATTTCTGCTCGCGATCCCACCGGAAGCGATTTTATCAAGATCGTTACTCGTTACTGCAGTATCTTCGCCGGAGCGCGAGTGGTGCGCGGCGCCGCAGAAAAACGACGCGGCGCCTTCGAGGTCTTCCAGGCTAGACCGCTGCCCAGCCATGTACGCGACAAAGGCATGCTCCGGTGATCCGTTACTAGGCGCGCCGAACGGCTGCAACTTCGCGGCGGCGCGCGACGGCTCTACAAAAGACGCCTGCCGCCGAAACTCGCGCGTGCGGAAGGATCCCGAGAGTCCGCCGTCCGCCGGATTCGTCGGAGCGGCATCTGCGGCATTCCGCCACTTGGTAATTCTACCCATCCTGCTGTGATTCCACGTCGTCGACCCCGCCGTCGCCGCCACCCCCGCCGCCGCGCTCCCCTGCGACATAAAACCCTCGTTCCGCTTCACACCCTCTGGAGCGCCCTCCGCCGATCCTTCCGCGGATGCGGATGTTCTCGCGGCGAAAGAAGAACCGTTAAACGACGAGAATCTGGTAATCCTATTCGCCGGATGCCCTTCATCGCGCGGCCTCCCCGCGCCGTAACGCGGAACCCTGCCCCCCTCAACGGACTCCTCATCCGACGACGTTCCCAGCTCCTTCTCCCACGATTCCAGCAGCGCCATCAGATCCAGGCGTCGCGCTGCGCCGCCCGCGCCGGAAGCGGCGCGACCGCTCGGCGCGCTGCGGCCGGCCGCCGCCATGGCGGACCCAGTATCGAAGCTGGCGGTTCGCGGTATCGCCGCCAATAGCGGAGCGGAAGGGCGCTGGGGGGGGATAGGCGCGGGTTGAGCCTCCCCAATCTGCCGCGAGAGATGCCTCATGAGAGGCTTAGCGGGCAGCGCAGCGGCTGCGCGCGCGTCTACGGCGGAGGGGGGAGCGGAAGCCGCTCTGGCCGCTGGGCACGACTCGTGCACGCCGCAACCGCAAGGGCAGGGGGGGAGGAGCTTCTCGATAAACGCAACGTAGCCCGGTTGAATACAGTTCACTGGTTGATGATATTCCATGGCTCACTGAGACTGTTGAAACGGACACATACGCGCTCGACGGATCGGATCTAACATGATTCCCGAGGCTCCTCAATACCAGTCTCTCTACCCGCGTTTTTGCGGCGATGCATTGTATATGTTACACGGAGCGGATCTCAGTAACATGCAGAAAGTGCCGAAGATCATGGCCGAAGGAGACGCGTGCTCCAAAAGTTGAAGCTACAGAGGCCGTGGTTGAGAATTCCCTAACTTTCTGTTCCGACTTCAGAGATCCCAAAATGCGGAAAGAAAGACCGCTTACGAGAGTTACAGATTCGCGGGAAACGACGAACTCGCTTGGGAGGAGAGAAGAGTCAAGACTATGGCGGCTTGACCTACGCTGACGAGACAGACAATATGCAATGAAGCAAGCTGCCATCAGCCGAGATAGGCAGGCAGCATTTGGTCGCACCCTGACGACTGATGGCGAACAAGCCATGTTCCCACAAATGACCGATGAACGACCGTGTGCGACCTCTTACGACCAGGACAGCTTCGTTCGACGAAAGCTGGGTACTACTTGGGCCACTAACATGCTAACAGTTGGCACACTTGCGAGTGTGGACGATCTGTGTGAGTCGCCTCGTTTTCGCCTCGTTTTCCCCCGTGGACGACCCTTTTCCCAACAGTGCAGACGCAGCTTGCGACGCAACCATCGCTTTGCCTGCTGTGGTGCAAACGATTAGGGGGAATCCGCGTATGAGGATGGTACGCCCTGGAAAGCAGAAGCGAGGAAAACTCTGTGAATGTTGCTCTGCTGCCGCGGCGAATGGATGGTGAATCTGTCCGCACTTTACTGTACACGTTACAGCTTTTCTTGCATTCGATCATGCGGCACTGGCGTTTTGCGAACCCGGTACGTGCTGTACTTGAAAAACCTCTTCTTGTGGGAGGAAAAAAAAAACATGCAGTACATTTATCGAGGGTGTATGTTGTGGGGTGTCAGAAAACACATGTAAATTCCCTTCCAAATTCAATCTCCAAACACGTGATTGTAGATTTTGCCGTGTTTTTCTCCCGTGCCAGACCGTTGTTTCCAGTGTCCGGATTGGTTCATTGTGCTTTGCTGTGTAGGGCAAACCCTGCCAAGATCCGGAGGAATGCTGCCACTGCTGCCCAAATTCGCGGCGCCACAGCGCAAGAAAATTATAAATGGCAGAAGCGAATATTGACCAGGCGACATCCTCGATACTGGATCTCCCGCACAGGAATATTAGGCCTTATGTTAATGAGTTTTAAAGGGGAGAGTAAAATTAACAAACTCAACCACGAAAAAGGAAGTGACGATTCAAGTGAAAGCGAAGGTGGTAGTATGGGGGAAGCCTTGGCTGGGCGGGAAATCGGGGCATTGGGGTTGGTTCGAGCCTCGTTCGCCTCCTCTGCATGCTCCGCATGCCCTTCCTCCCCCTCCTCCACCTCCTGCGCTGCAAATCCATCTCTCTCCTCCTGGGTCGCTGCAGGCGATTCTTGAGTGCGCTCTGTTGCTGCAGGAGATTCGTCATGACGCCCTGTTGTTGCAGGCGCTTCCTTGAAAAGCTCTGTCGTTGCAGCCGTTTCCTGGGTGTCATACGCGTCTGTCCACTGCACGTCCTTTTCCTCCTGTGTCCTCAGCAGTTCCGCCTCCTCTTCCCCGAGTGCCAATCCCTCTTGAGTCAACTCAGAAGTCATCTTCTCAACAGACGACAGCTCCTGCCCTTCACCTCCACGTGTTTCCTGGGTGTCATACATCTCTCTCCACTGCACGTCCTCCTCCTGTGCCCTCTGCAGTTCCGCCTCCTCTTGCACTGGCACCAACCCCTCCGCGTCCTGCGTCTCCTCGTCAGCAGCAGCAACAGATTCAGCAGTAGCCGTAGTAGCAGCAGCTGCAACAGTAGCAACAGTAGCAGCAGTATCAGCAGTAGTAGCAGCAGTAGAAGCAGCAGCAGTAGCAGCAGTAGCAGCAGTAGCAGCAGTAGCAGCGGTTGCAGTAGCAGCAGCAGTTGCAGCAGTAGTAGCAGCAGTAGCAGAAGCAGCAGTAGAAGCAGTAGTAGTAGCAGCAGTAGCAGCAGAAGCAGCAGTAGCAACAGTCGCAGCAGTGGCAGCAGTAGCAGCAGTAGAAACAGTAGCAGCAGTGGCAGTAGCAGCATCAGCCCCTGTGGACACAGCAGCAGCAGCAGCTTCAGCAGCAGCAGCAGCAGGAACATCCCCGTCCCTCTCTCCTCTTTCATAGCCACCTGCAGCGACACCACCAGCGCTCACGCGCTCGCCACCACCAGCGCCACCCCCGGCGTTGGCGCTAGAGCCACCAGACAAGAGGCTCTTGGCAAAGCGAGTGAAAGAGCCGTACACTGAACTTATACCCCCCACCCTCTCCGCCCTCCTCTTCTCCTCCACCTCCTCCTGCCCATGCTCTTTTGCTGTCTCATTCCCCACCTCCTCTCTCCTCACCTCCTCTTCTCCCTCCACCTCCATTTCTCCCAGCACCTTCTTTTCTCCCTCTGCCTCCTTCGCTCCCTCCTCCTGCCCTTCTTTACCTGTATCACCATCCAGTGCCATGGGGACATCATCAGCAGAGGGGGCTCCAGGCACATCCCCAATATCAACAGCAGAAGCATCTGCGTCCGCATGCATCACATCCTTTCTCTGTTGCGTCTCATATGAGCCCTCCTCCGCCCCATCCCCCGACAGCCACGCCTCAAACGTCGGCTTCACACCCGCTTCTCCCATCTCCACATCATCCCCTCCCCCCTGCCCTTCCTCCACATCATCCCCTCCCCTCTGCCCATCCTCCACATCATTCCCCCCCTCTTGCCCAATGCCCTTCCCCTCGGCATCCCTGCTAGCCTGCCCTCGTTCACTCTCATCCTCCATTGCCTGACTAATAGGACTGCCCCCTTCCTCACTAAGGCGTGTCACAGGCATCGCCATCGACCCAGGAAGCGCATACTCAGCTCGCCCTGCGTCTCCATCCTGCTGCTCGTCTTCTCTTTCACTGTCCCTCACCTCTTCCGCCTCCTTCCTCTCCTCACCCCCTTCTGCCCCTTCCACTACGTTCCCCTCCCCTCCCTCCTCCGTCTCCTTTCCCTCTCCCCCCTCCTCCCCCTCCTTTACTCTCTTATCCACCTCCACTCCCCGACCATCCTCCTCCTCCCCATCCGCCTCTTCTTCCCCTCCCTCCCGAACCCCTGCCCCTCCAGCCTCACCCCTCTCTGCCTCGCGTCCCACCAGTCGGCCACTGCCCCCTTCACCTCCTCTCCCCAACTCCACGCTTGTTGCCTCCGCTTCTCCAATCCGCACCTCGGCTGCCCCATCGCCCCGCTCCCCTTCCTTCCCACCACCCCTTTCCTTCCGTGCGTCCACTTCCTCCCCACCCCCAGTCACTCCACCGCACTCACCACTTAACTCCTCGTCCTCCCGCCTGCCCTCTCTATCCCCATCTCTTGCTCCCCCCATCCCTCCCCCACCTTCCCTCCCCACGTGCCCCTCTCTAGTCCCCTCTTCACCTATCCCACCGCCTTCATCCCCGTTATCAGCTGCTGCATTGCCATGTATCTCTGCATCTGCCACGTCCCCGTTAGTATCTGCTCCACCACTGTCCTTCATCACCTTCCCCTCCTCGGCCCCATCCAGCTCAGCAGCATTATCCTCTTCATTCCCAATAGAGGCAGCTGCGTTATTGTCCTTGGCCCCCATAGAAGCATCTGAATGATCATCCTTGTCCCCATCGTCCAGCCTGTAAGTGTGCTCAGGAGGCAGGGGGAAGAGGTCGGCAGAGTCTGGAAAGTCCTGAGTCACGGGCTGGACGCTGCTGCACCTGCACGCACACATGCCAGTCAGGGGAGGACAGGAAAGTGCACGGGAGGGAAAGACCGCATGGGTTGAGCGCAAGTTGTGGCATGATCAGTTAGGGAGGGGATGAGGTCAGCTGAGTCTTTGAACCCTTAAACCACGGGCTGAACGCTGCTGCACCTGCACGCATGCCAGTCAGAGGCAGGACACGAGGGCGCAAGTCTTAAGAAATTAAGTTCGTGCACGATCAGATGAGCCATGCAGCCCATGCAGAGCAAGGAAAGGTGGCAGGAGTGATGTCACTGCCACCTGCACTGGCGCGTTTGGGTTGGAGAAGAGATGGTTTGAGGAAGAATATGGAATGCGCAGCAGTGCATGCAAGGCATGAGTGAATGCGTGCAACATGTGAGAGTCAGTGCAACATGGGATGTGAGCATTGCATGCACGGATCGTGTCATGTGGGTTCCGAACTCACCCAAACGACCCATAGCTATCAGTGGCGAGCCAGCGAGCCTCCTCTGCAGGACCCTCATCCACTTGCGCCTCGTCAGCAGCAGGCTCACCGGCCACATCAGCACCGGGCACTCCAGCCACGTTAGCACCAGGCCCATGAGCTACACTATCAGCAGGAAGGCGAAAAGTGTCAGTGGCAGGCTCAGGAGGAGCGGCTGAAGCAGCAGCAGAAGCAGCAGCTGCAGCAGCAGGTCTAGCATCGAAAATCTCCATAGGTGTGGCAGCAGGTGTGGCAGCAGGTGTAGCACAGGTGGCTGTTGTAGCCGCAGCAGGAACGGCAGCTGAAATCACTGAATCTCTCTCAACAGTTTCCTCTGATACCTGCACAGACCCAGAAGGAGGAAAACAAAATTTGGTTTCCAAAAAATAGCATTTTTCACCAAAAATCCTCCGCACAGCTCCCAGCAAAGCGCACGCTGCATGTCCCACACACCTGCTGTAACACATCCATGCCTTCTGGTCCCTGTGCCCGGCCGTGCAGCCCACCCTCCGCATCACCATGAGCGTTAGCTTCAGCATCAGCATCAGCATGAGCATGAGCATCGGCATTGGTGTCGGCATGGGCATAAAGGTTGGCCTGAGCATGGGCATCGGAGCCCGCGTGCTTGTCCTCATCGTGCTGTTGCAGGCTGAGCAGACGCACGTCTGGCGACAGGTGGCCGTGCATGTCCGCGTCCATGGAGAATGGCTGCGTGTGCATCCCACGCGCACTGGCACCCCCCACTCCTCCAAACCCACTGTCAGAGTCAGTGTGGGCTGCAGTGTGTGCGTGTGTGTCCGCGCCCGTGGAGAATGGCTGCGTGTGCATCCCACTCGCACTCTCACCCCCCACACCTCCAAATCCAGTGTCAGAGTCAACGTGCGCAGCCGTGTGAGCGTGTATGTTAATGTCAGTGTTCGCATCAGCATGGGCTGAGATGCGAGTGTGGGTGCTAATATCAGTGTCAGCATCAGTGAGAACGGTGCATGCTTCCCTTGCACCTCCTACGCCTGTTGCTGCAACCCCACCCCTCTCAACCCCTTTATCCGCCCCTCCTGGACCACTCACTTCCTCCTCCCCACCTGCCGCAGCTGCATCAAACCTCCTCGTCTCCTGTGATCCACCAGCTCCAGGTTCGGCAGCAGGCTCGGATAAAGGCACGGGAGGAGGCACCGCAGGTGGGTAGGCGGCAAATGGCTGGATATCTGGCTTAATGTCTTGGGAAAATAGTTGTGAGAAGTCCTGGGATAGGGCTCCTTGCGGCGAGACTGGCTGTTCTGCCACGTCAGATCTATGGCGTCATCGTGCCAGTCTGGCATGGCCACGTCATCAAGAGGGACCTCCACCGTCACACCCTCCCAACCTGCTAGCGAGAAAGGAGGAGGTTAGGGAGGGGAGCGGGGGGCGGCGTGTGGGAAATTGGGGGGGGGGGGGGAGAGAGAGATGCCGGGAAAGGGGAGAGGGAGGGAGGGGAAGGGAGGGGGTGGTGCACTGAAGAACGAAACTGGCAGGGTCATAAAGCGCGAAAGGAGGCCTAAAAATAGAGAAATTGGGATGTCTGTCTAGGAAACACCAGTTGTAAGCTGACTGCTGGCGTGATTGACAAGTCACGGCGGATCCATGACGTGGATTTCACGAACAGGCGTAGCTAAGGCGTGGTTAAGGGGTCATTCATGTGCTTGCCTTCTTGTAAATGCTGTGCCGCCTCCTGCGACGTGCTCACAAACGCGTCCTCCAGCACCTGACAGAGGCCATGGAGGAAACACGAAGACCGGGACGAAAAACGGGAAATGCAAATGCAAAGTTAAGAGAAAACAAACCAGCGAACAAATACTAAACAGGGAGTGAAAAACAAGAACAGATGATGGAGGTATACAGAACATAATTGCCGCGTGGGACGGAACAGGGTAGATAACGTTCAGAAGCGAAAAAGCGGTCTCAAAGCCAAGCCAACGGACCTGATCGACTTGCATCTCAACCTCTTCGCTTGAATCATCCTGGCGGGGAATCTCTCCTTGCTCGCCGTTCGGCTGTGAATCCATCCCGGACGCGCCTTCGATTCGACCATCCCTCTGAGATTCTAGGCCCCTAACCTCTTCGTTAGCGTCGGCCTACCTTCCTTCCGGCTCTGTCGAATCCGGAATATGCTCTTCATTATCGCGAAAAATCGTTCCGCCTAAGCTTCCGCCCGGATCGCCCTCGAGGTTACTTGACGCAGCCATGAGGTTGATAGAAAACGGAAGCTTCAAATACGAACGGCGAAAGGGTCTGTAGTATCGCTAACGATATGCATTCTAACAATCGCTCGGTGATTTGGCTAAGAACTACGAATGTTTGGTGCAAGACTCCCTGAAAAGATGTACTACGAAATTGTAAACTCAGCAATCAGGGATGCGGGGTGGACCTCCGAATTTCAAATCTCACACCTCGGGAGAATCCACCTAAGGGATCTGGCAGCTTTTCATGCTCCACCCATTGCTGCTTCCCAGTAACCGTATGAGGAACAGCCAGAACCTGTATGGGGGTACCGTAAAGTGCCACCTATAGGACCCGCCGGTAAGAGGGTCCCCGGGACTCTTGAATGGGTTGGGGGACTCTTATTGTGGCAGGTTTTGTGAGGACCCCCCCTTTGTAGCTAATCATTATAAGACCCCCCTTCCATGTAAGGCCCTGTTTATTTTGGTGCAGTTATCATTGTTACTGTAATAACCTACTACACATATCTCAACATCTAGTGGTCACTACATCTACGACCTGGTCGTGTTGGATTCCATCAGGCACTCTAGTTAGGAACCAGTCAACCCCCACCTCCCCTCCCCCCTACTCCTCACTGCGCGTCCGCGGCCTCCTCAAGCCCACCCTCCGCCTCCTCCTCCTCCTCCTCTCCTCCTCCCCTCCTCCTCCTCCTCCTCCTCCTCCTCCTCCTCCTCCTCCTCCTCCTCCTCCTCCTCCTCCTCCTCCTCCTCCTCCTCCTGCAGGTCCCCGGCGTCCTCTGCATCCGCCGCCTTTGCCGCCTCCTCATCCTCCGCGGCTGTGGCGAACAGCGGGTTCACCCACTCCTCCACCTCAGGGGCGACGTGCACGTCCTGTGCCACCTCGACCTCGCCCGCGTCGCGCATGTGGGCAAGGACGAGGTGGTCCTGCTTCCCATCGACCGAGTTGCTGATGCCCGTCATGAGAAACGCCTTCTCAATAATGTGCTCGGGGACAGCCGCCCAAGCACTCGCAATCCACTTGAGGACCGTCTCTGCTGGCGGCTTCTTCAGGTTGCCTGCCATGTAAACGGTGATGAACAGGCACGGCGCGCACATGGGAGTTACGGTATCTTACAAACAAGCAGCTACGAACAAGTCATAAGGCGAGGAAATTAGAAAGCCACCAAAACTCACCGGCTTTCGTGAACGTGTTGATGCCAAACTCGGCGAACCAGTCGTTGTAGAGCTGACGGAGCAGTGCCTTGAATGAGCGATTAACGCTCACATCAAGGGGCTGCAGCAGTGGGGTGCAGCCCCCGGGAATGATGGCCGGGATTACCCGGTTCCACTTCATCTTGGTGAGAACGCCATCGGTGAGGTGGCCCCGGTACGAGTCCACGACGAGAAGCGTCTTGGACCGCTGGATTCCGCGCGGAGGCTTGATGAACGGCAGGAGAACATTGTTTACCCAGTCGTCCACGAGCTTAGCGTCCATCCAGCCTTTCGCCTGCGCACGGACAATGACTCCTGCAAGGGAAACAGCGCACGTGGTTAGAAGTTTGCCACGCATAGAAACTCCCGTGCTGGTTACAACTCTTACAACGCACCTGTCGGGACCCGAATTTTCGGGATCGTTTTTCGCTTGAAGATAACCATGGCGGGGAGCTTGCGCCCGTCCGCGGTGATCCCGAGCATGACAGTCACCCTGTCATTCTCATAGCCCGCGCTCCTGACGTGCACCGTCTTCTCTCCGCGATGATGCAGGGTACGCTCGTGCGGCATCTCCAGGAAAACGGGCGTCTGGTCGGCGTTGATAATGTTCCATGTGTCGATGCTATGCTTGATGATGTTCCGCCTCGTGAACGCCAAGAATTGCTCACACTTCGGCTTGCAGTCTGCCATGGACGACCACAAGGCGGGAGAAAGACATTAGTGACGGTGGTGTGTTAAGCATGAGTCTAACATGTCGCTGTGCAAACGATAGAAACACACACATGTACGGAAGCGCAAGCATACCACTCACCCGCTGCCATACGCTGACCCATCTTCGTTTTGACGCGGATAGCGAGGCCCAAACGCTGGCGGAAGCGGAACGTCCACCTGTTGGACGCCATCCACCTCACATCAGGGTAGTGCGCCTTCATGTAGCACCGGCTCCAGTGCTTGATGAGACGAATAGGCACGGCCAAGCCACGTCCGCGGAAGTTCAGGAGCCGCTTGTAGGTGTGCGCCTCCATGTCGGGATATTTCGCCTTTCTTCCTCCACCACTCAGTCGGCGCCTGGACGGTGCTGCCTTCTTAATCCGATCCGCCGCCCTTATCCACCGGCGGACGCTGACAGGCTGCACCCCGGCAAGTCGTGCAGTGGCGCGGACGGAGAGCTTCTCCTCCTCCATCCGCGCGAGCCATTCCTGCTTCTCACCCATGGTTCGCGCCGTGCGACGGTGATTATTCTTGCGGGCGGGTCGAGCTTCTGGAGCACCGTCAACCTTGGAGCGAGGCCCGCTCTCGTTGTGGATCAACTCATCCGGGAACGTCGGGATCGGGAAATCCCTGACGTCGTCTTCCATGTTCTCGTTCTCGGCGTCCTCGGCGACGGGTTCGGGAAACCCCTCCTCCTCGAGCGGGTCCAACGGAGGTGTGGTGCGCTAGTCGACGAAGCCCGGGGGAAGCACAGGAGGCGCAGGTGGCGCCGGAGGCGCAGGGGGTGCCGGAGGTGCGGGAGGTGCTGGAGGAGCTGGCGGGGCCGGGCTAGTAATCAATATGATTGCGGGCTGACCAGACCCACTGCCCACAGGAGAACGGCGAGAACACCATGGCCTTTCGAAAGCTGACATGGCGAGGAGCTGATACAGTTCTAAGAACTTCTGGTACGGTACTCTAAGTGGCAGGCGCCATGGCGGGCTATTTAGATGGGAAGGAAGCTAGCGGTCCAGGCAAGATCTTAAACAGGGAAAGGGAGGGGATGAAAGCTTGCGTGCTCGGCAGAGTGTGGGACGTGAAACCCTAGTGCTTCACGTCCAGTGCCCATTCTGCCACAGAGGCAGGATGGGGTGGTCAGGGGCCACCTGGCGTGCCCATCTTGACGGGAAACAACGTCAAGATGATGTGTGGTGCGGGGCAAACACCGTTCAGTCCGCCCTCGTGCTCTGATTCTCGCCGCGTGTCATTCCCGATGACGCGCACATTGTGCACCAAGCGAAAGATTCTGGCGCCCCCCCCTTGTAACGAGCTTGTACATGGTAAATCTAATAAAGTTAATAGATAAATAAGTGTACCCCGGGTCTTAAAAATTTGCAACCGCCATAATGTCCACCCTAGCATTTTTTTGAGAATTTGTAGAGAGTCCCCCGGGTCCTATAGGTGGCACTTTACGGTATTCATTTTAGATGAACTTACAAACAGTTCGACAGATGATTTAAGGTTTCCAAGTATGATTGAAAACACAGGTGTTTAGTATAATAAGATGTTACAAACAATTAGCATGTCCTAGAGCATTGCTGCTGCTCATCAGTAGGTAGAGAGATGCCACAAAGGTTGCTGCTACTGACAAATCATCAAAACAAAAAGGTACCTGCAGAGCACAAAAGAATCGAGTTAGTATTCAGACATAGGAGGTAAGCAGTCAACTTACAGCAACCAACGACTCACATGGATAGAAGACTGTCCTGGCCTGAAAAAAATGGCCGTTGGAGTCATGGCAATGGCTGCTGAGGCATGACCATTTCCCCCACCACAGGGAGGACTGGTTGCTGAGGCATGGCGACTGGCTGCTGAGTCATGACCATTCTCCCCCACCACAGGGAGAACTGGCCAATCCCCAGAGGTGCTAAACCCAAGGCATGTGGGAGCCCATCATAGACTGAATCTGCCAATACAGAGCTGCTGCAGTCAGCTTTGTATTGACAGAATCAGCCTGTCTGGCCCGGATCCGAGTGTTTAAACAACCCCAAAGGTCCCTCAGCACCATTCTTTACCTCCAGATTACCTGCAGGAGGACAAAAAGATAGTCAGTCCTCAGGCAGGAGCATGCAAGAACAAAGGAAGCAATGAACTCAACTGCTAAAAAGATAAAAATCATACCTCAAAAGACTTTCAGATCCTGGAGTACTGAACGTCAGTAATCGTCGAGCATCCTGAGTGGTAATGTCCGTTGAAACTCTCCCATCTTGAAGAACCTGCAGGATGAAAACGGAAATGTTAGTCAATGTGTCACAAACATAACCTGCTAAAAGGATCCAAATCATACCTTGAAAGACTTCACATCTTCGGGTGCTGAAACGTCAAACCGTTGAGCATGCTGAGTGGTGATGTCCGTTGAAACCCGAAACCCATGTTGAAGGACCTGCAGGATGAAAACGGAAATGTTAGTCAATGTGTCACAAACGAAAGTTGCCAAAATATTAAAATCTTACCTTAAGGGCCTTGATCCGCCTCATGCCCTAGGCCATTACTTCATGCCAGATTCCTCTTGCATCAGCCCCCAGGTTGCCTGCAAGATGACAAAACGATAGTCAGTATTCAGCCAGAATATACAAGAATGCAGCAAGTATAAAATTCAAATGCTAGAATGATAAATGATTTACCTTGAGGGACTTCAGATGCTTGACTGCTGAGGCATGGCGACAGGCTGCTGAGTCATGACCATCCTCCCCCACCACAGGGAGGACTGGCCAACCCTTGGAGTCACTGAATGCAAGGCATGCGGGAGCCCATCATAGAACTGAATCTGCCAATACAGAGCTGCTGCAGTCAGCTCTGTGCCGACAGAATCAGCCTGTCTGGCCCGGATCCGAGTCTTTAGACAACCCCAAGGGTCCCTCTGCACCATTTGTAGCCTCATGCCT